AGCGGGGAGCAGAACAGGCAGATCGACGAAGTACACTGCTGAGGGGAGCAGTGGGCGGGTCAGGAGAGGTCTGCCAAGCCATGTGGTCACCTCCGGGGCAGTTGGGGATCAAACTCATGCGGAAGTGGCTTTAGTTTCTCAGTGCTATGCTTTAACCCGCTGCGCCACCAGGGAGGGCCCTATTTGTCTTACTTTATTAGTAGTAAAGTTTCATATAGTATAAGGTAATGATAGTAGTACACTAGTAGTTGTACTTATAGTAGTATTAGTAATAAAGGTACTTGATGAAATCCATTAAAATAATACTTCAGAGATTGAGCAGGGTAAAACCTTGGCACACTGAGAGAACAAAAGTCTCTAACTTATTATTTTACAGGACAAGGAATTTAGGAACCAAGCAGAGTGCATTAAAAAAAGGATTACTTGGGATTTGGAAAGTCGCTGCTATCTTGATCCTTCTGCAGTGGTCAGGTAGGAAGAGGAAGTCAATAGCTCTAACCAACAAAGACTGTTGGTGAGAAGAAATGTTACTTTTGTTAATTTTATCTGTATTTGAGTTAAGGTGATCTGAGATGCTTTTCCACCACATCTGCTAATAAAGGCTTCTAGTGATGATGGCTTAACCAAGGTAGGTTCCTGTTTCTGTTTCACTGTGGAAGTGCAGATCCACAGTGTTATTAGGCTTGCAGGCTCAATCTTTTTTTGCTCTTTTTCTTAGTGTGTGCCATCCTTTCACAATATTGTCTCATGGTCCAAGAAAGCCCATGATGGCTGTTGGCAATCCAGTTTATGCATACACATTCCTGGAAGGAAAAAAAAATTTTTTTAAATAATATAATAGTTATTTTTACATCATTTTATGCATTTTTCATCTCAGTTGTAATCTCTGTGGGCTTCCCATCACCAAATCACCCATGTGCCATCACCATAGTCCAGTGCATTGCCTTCCCCCCACTGTTTTTGATCCCATGCCCCATTTCACCCCCATAAAATGTGTCTGGTATATAGCTGCTCATTATTATTATTATTTTCTCGCCTGGTGTGTTATACTCCTGCTATGACTGAAACTATCTCTTATGTTCCCTTTTTTTTCTGGCTTATTTCACTAAGCATGATCTTCTCCAGCTCCATCCATGTTGCTGCAAAAGACGTGTTTTTTTTTTGTTTTGGTTGCTGAGTAATATTCCACTGTGTATACGTCATCCACTTTTGGGCATTTGAGCTGTTTCCATGTCTTTCCAATTGTAAATAAAGCAGCAGTAAACATGGGGGGGTGCAGGTACCTTTTTGAATCAATGTTTTTGTGTCTTTTGGGTAGATACCTAGGAGTGGGATTGCTGGATCATAGGGAAGCCCCATGTTTAGCAGTTTGAGGAAACCCCAAACAGTTTTCCATAGTGGTTGTACTAGTTTGCATTCCCACCAGCAGTACAGGAGAGTACTTTCTTCTCCACATCCTCGCCAACATTTGTTGTTGCTAGTTGTTTGAAGATGTGCCATTCTCACTGGGGTGAGATGGTATCTCATTGTGATTTTAATTTGTATCTCCTTTATTACAAGTGATGTTGAACATTTTTTTCATATGCTTGTTGGCCATCTGCATTTCCTCTTTGGAGAAGTGTCTTTTTAGCTCTTCTGCCCATTTTTTGATGGGGTTGTTTATTTTTGTTGAGTTTCATAAGTTCTTTGTAGATTTTGTGAACAATCCTTTATCTCTAGTTTTGTGTAAGAAATTTTTTTCCTAATCAGTGGGATGTCTGTTTGTCTTTTGTAATGTCTCTTTTGCTGTATAGAAGCTCTTTTACTTGATGTAACCCCATCTATTTATCCTTGCCTTCACTATCGTTGCATTGGGTGCTCTATCTTTAAAGATGTCGCTGAAGTGTATGTCGTGTAATGTTTGGCCCATCTTTGCTCCTGGAAAAAAATTTTAATAGGGGAGTAGTTTTCGATAAAAAAGAGACTTATCTTGGCTACCTTACTTCTTCTTATAGAGTTTTTCTGGGATCTGACAACTTCTGTTTACTCTTAGCCCCGGGCTAGCCGGGCAGTACGGTCTCGAGGCACGGGCTGGGGATGATAAAGAACCAGGCACACACACACACAGGATTTTCAAGCAAATGGCAGCTCCTTTATTATTCCGATTCCCTCCTTATATATCCTACAGTCCCCGCCTCCGTACTTTTTCACCCCCCTTGTTTGTACACCGTTGGAGCATTTAGTCCTACCAGCAAAAACATATTCCCTTTCAGGTGCAAGAGGCCCTTGTTCTTTAAAAGCCCACAATGTTTCTTTCTAGTCCTCAATAACCTGGACTGCACAGCTCTTCACAGTTTACATCTCATTAGCTATCTCTAGATGCAAGAGACGATAGGAAATAGTGCTTGGTAGACATAGTGTCAGCAGACTAAATCAACCAAGTTTGCTATTGCCTCTTGCAGCTACCTTGTAAGGACAGGCTGGCAGTCACATTGGTTGAAATGAGAGATAAGTGTCTTTTCTGGCTCCTAGGGCACGTACAGGCATTCTTGGGAGGACAGAGACCACAACTGGGACAATTGTGTGGCTCTATCCACTGCCAAACCCAGTCCCTGGTTACTTGGGTGTCTTGTTGGACTGTCAAACAGGTTAAAATCACACAGTGACTTATGCACTCTGCTACCCAAGCTAGTGGAGGAGAGCCTGAGAGGCTGTCAGGGAAGAGCCATAACCCTCTCCATGAAGTGGCACTATTCTTAACTTTCTGTTCCTTAGTCTTTCCTTGCTTTTAAGGTAGCTTTGGCTCTCCTTGCTAAGACACCAGTCTTCACTTACTCAGTTCTGTTCCAGATGTAGCTGTTTCTGTTGGATGCTTATCCTCAGTGTCCCTGAAGGAAGTGAAGACACAAGGATTCTGTCTGCCATCTTCATCTTGCCTCAAATGTTAATCGCTAGGCTCCTTATAATAGCTAATAAAATGTAAATTCTATGTAAAGAGTTGCTATAATGTACTATTTAGAATTATAACAAGAAAAAGTCTATGTGTGTTTAGTGAAGATACAGCCATCATAGGCCTATCTCCATAGTATGTATTTCTGATCTCCAATTGGTTGGATCCATGGATATAGAACTCATGGATATGGAAAGGTTGACTGTATTCTATTATTTTTAAACAGAGGAATATTCTCTTTAAATTATGTTCACTCTTCTTCTGCATATGATTGTAATGGGCTCATTCTTGTTTTGTAGTTTTCAGAAGCGAATTGCTGATTGTCGATTGTGGCCTGTAGAGATCACAAGAGTTCCTATGGTTGCTGTGCCCAAAGGGAAAGCTGCCAAACTTGAAAAAGTAAATTTGAGCTTTGAAACACTTATGTGATAAATACTGGGTCAGACCCAACCTGTTGTTCTGTTTCTAATTTGATAACCACAGGAAAATGTGAATATTATTGGTCTGTAAAACCATTGAATCCTCCTAATTTGATGGGTAGTTTTCAGAATTTAGTGTTGAAAGTCTCATGTTTCATGAACTGCCCTGTCTTTGGCAAACCAGGATATTTGGTTACTTTAGCTCCTCTAATCCATACAAGTTTATTTATGTTTTATTCCCAGACATCCTATTGCTTTCTAGCCCTTCATTGAGTTTTATGTATGGTAAGACCATACAAAGTATTTATTTTTATATGTCAAAAGTTATTAAATTTTGCCACTATGATAACCTAATACAGCTTTCTGATTTCTTTTAGAATACCTACTTAAAACTGATTAGCATTTTAATTAGAGAATTAGGGTTGATAGATGAAGTACTTTTGTGAAAACATATGGCTTTGATGAGCCTAGACTATGTGCTTTATTGTTTTACTTGTGCATGTGTGGTGTTTTCTGCTTATTTGTAAACTGTCTGAGTGGAGGGGTCCATTGTGAACTGCTTTGTATCATCAACAGAAGTCTATCATGATTCATGCCATCTACTAAGTACTTCAACAGATACCTAAATAATTTTGTTCGTTGTCATTTTTTTTTTAACTTTTGAAAAGCTGCATACAAGAGCTGGGGTGTAGGCCAGAGGTGCAGTAGGGGGAGGGTGTGAAAGGAATCACCAGAGACAGAGTGGGGGGACAGAACAAGCGGGTTGACTCAAATACACTACTGAGAGGAGCAGTGGGCAAGACGGAAGAGGTCTGCTATGCCATTTGGGTCAGCTCCCTGACCAGGTATCAAATTAGTGCTGCAGTGGCTGCAGATAGTTTCATAGTGCTGTGCTTTCACCTCTTGTGCCACCAGGGAGGCCCTCATTCATCTTAAAATAGGCATCTTGGTTAATACTACTACTGTGTAACCACTTCTCCCTTTGTATTATACAATATGCACTGGCTAACTTTCCTTAGATTTCTAAATAATACATTATCTCATGAGTTTAAGACTTTTAAACCTAGGGACCTCCCTCGTGGTACAATGGTTAAAACACAGCACCATCCACAGCCTCTGCAGCACTAGTTCTGATCTCTGGCCAGGGAGGTGACTCACATGGTGCAGCAGACCTCTCCTTCTTTGCCCTGTGCTCACCTCCGTAGTGTATTTCAGTCAATCAGTCTATTCTGTCTCTGGTGAACCTCTCATTTAACTCCACACCTCTGGTCTGTACCCCAGTTCCTGTATGTGTAAATAAATAAAATATTTAAGAAAATTAAACCTAATTTCTAATTATTATTAGAATAGACAAAATTAAGGTGGTTGTCTTTAACATTATGGGGATTAAATATGTTTCTTTCATTAAATTGATTTTTTTTTCTAAAGAAGTTTTTCTATGGCAAGCCATATAGCCATTGAAAATGATGTTAAGGCATAATTTTGACATTCTCTATCTTTGTGTCAAGAATTTAGATTAAATTAAGGATGGCAAATACTGATAGTTTTTTTGCCATTTACCCTTCATGCAAATATTGCTAATCAATCAAAGCACTCTTCTGAACTCAGATAAGGATACAGAATCTTCCTCAATGTAGCACCTAAAACATTTCCACTAGTTGATGTCATACATTTTTGTCATTATTGGTCATCACTTTGTAACGCCCCTTTCATTTATATGAATCTCTGAACTAAAGCTAAAAGTCACAGCTTCTGATTTTTAAGTTTTGTTGGTAGTGTTTTTTACAGTTTTATTTTTTCCTAAGGAACAACATGGTAAACTTGCCTTTTTAGTTTGACATATATGCTTTCAATTAATTTGAGTAATTGCTAAACCAACTTTACTATTCATTACCACTGCTTATATGCATTAATTACCTCAGTAATATTGTATTAGTAGTCCCATTGTGAAGGTAAATGGAGATCCAAAGTGTTTATGTAACTGATCCAAAATCACATAACTAATTAAGAAGCATGGCTTGTTCTCAAAGCCATTTCATACTTTCTGCTATGTTGCTCAATAGTACTTACAGCTCTGGTTTTCTTTCTTTAGGCTGATGATGAAAGTCCACTTTCATTTCACGGTGTGGCTTATGTTAATATGGTTCCATTGCTGTATCCAGGTGTGAAGAGGATTAGGGGAGCTTTTCATGTTTACCCTTATCTAGACAATATAGTCTATGAAAAGGTAAAAGGAATTTTGTAGAAGGTATCATCCTAATTTTCCTTTACTATGTGTTTACTTATAGCTTTAACATATACTTCTTTGCAATTGATATTTGGAACCAGTTAGTATACTGGGATGTTAAATATAGAGCCTTTCACTCTTTTTGATATTGGAACTTAATTTTATGAACATGAATAGTCCAAAACTGGGAACAATAAGTCAAAAGTGAAAACTATAAAAATAGAAGTGGCTGTTCATTAAAGATGTGAATTAAGGCAAGACGTTCTATGAGAGATATAAAGGAAAAGGTTTAGATTACCAAAACATGAAAGCTTTTAATATGCAAGGAAAAACATCACAAATAAAATTACAGTGTACTGAAAAGATGGAGGAAATATTTGAATATAAGGACAATGGCTATTATTCCTAAAATATAAAACACTTTGTCAAATATGTATAAAAATATACTTAAAATTTTTTTTAAAAGATTTATTTGTAACTGGGGTAAAGGCCAGAGGTAAAGGGGCGGTGAGAGGATTCACTAGAGACAGAGTGGGGAGCAAAACAGGCAGATGGACAAAGTACTCTGCTGAGGGGAGTAGCAGGCAGTTCAGGAGAGGTCTACCTCGCCATATGGATCACCTCCAAGGCAGGCGGGGATTGATCTCATTCAGAAGTGGCTTTCGCTTCTTACTGCTGTGCTTTAACCTGCTGCACCACCAGGAAGGGCCTAAAAATGTATTTTTAATGTGAAGTAGCAGTTTACAGAAGCAATGTCAATGACTAATAAATAAACAAGAAACATTTGACCTTATTTGTAATGAAGGATATACAACTTTAAATATTAATAAAGTATGTATTTACCTGGAAAATTAGACAGTTCTTTAAAATGTGATAGTGCTCATTGGTATAGCAAGAGTATGGTAAAACAACACTCATTCAGTGCCCCTGGAAGAATAAATTAGTACTAACAATGTCCAAAAAACTTTTTGTCAGTATTTATTAAAAAAACATTATTTCCAGGGCCCTCCCTGGTGGCACAGCGGGTTAAAGCACCACACTAAGAAGTTAAAGCCACTTCCGCATGAGTTCGATCCCCGCCTGCCCCGGAGGTGACCACATGGCGTGGCGGACCTCTCCTGGCCCGCCCGCTGCTCCCCTCAGCAGTGTACTTCATCCATCTGCCTGTTCTGCTCCCCTCTCTGTCTCTGGTGGAGCCTCTCACCCTCCATGTCTCTGGCCTATACCCCAGTTCTGTATAAGTAAATAAATAAATCTTTAAAACAAACAAACAAACAAACAAAACATTATTTCCCACACTATTTCTATTTCTAGGAATCCATTTTAAGGGAATAGGCAGAATTAGTACCAGACTTTCCTGTATGAAGTTATTCTTGGTGATCTGGGGAAAACTATATCATGCTCTAAAAATTGGGGGTTTTGATTTCAAGAGGTTTCTAGCTTGATTTCTGAAACTACCATTTACTAACTAGGTAATTTTGAGCAAGTGACTAAATTTCTGTCAACTTTAGTTACTCAATTTGTAAAATTATACAATTGCCAAATCATAGAACCCACGTGCCCTTCAATAGATGAATGGATAAGAGAAACTGTGGAGCATATATTAAAAAGAATATTACACAGTTGTGAAGAAAGGTGAAAGTGACATTTGGAACAAAATGGATAGACCTTGAGGTGATTATGTTGAATGAAATCAGTCAAAAAGTAAAAGACAGATTCTGGATGGTTTCACTTACTTAAACATATTTGCAGAATATAAACACCAAAACAACAATAGTGCACAAACAATAGAGAAATAAAAACTTGAACTTGGCAAAAAGATAATAATGGTTATTAGATGATGTAGAGAGAAGAGTGGAGGAAATGAGGGAGGGAGGCAGATGGGGTATGGGCATGGGTGGTTTGGTGGAGGAAAAAAATAGATGGCAATAGGGGAGGAAAAATGAACCAATATTTAAAAATGAATATATCAATAGTCAACTTAATACTTGATAGAGCAATTATGTAAAATAGCTGTGTTGACTATAAAATTAACATACAACCCAGCAAACTATTCCTAGGAATCTACCAAAAAGAACTTAAAACCTCTATTTATACAAAGACATGGATCTGAATGTTTACAACAGATTATTTATAATAGACAAAAATTCACAAAAATTTATATGTCCTTACCTGGTGAACTAATAAAATATACCATGGCTATAAAAGGAAGTAATATTTAGGAATGTGAAAGAATGAACTAAAAATAAAGTACCATCTCAAAATCACTGAATTTTTGGTATAATTTAAATGGTGAATTATAAGCAATGTGGCTTAATCTCACTAAAGTTGTTCTAAAGATAACATGAATAAACCTGAGAAAAGGAATGAACTACTGATACATACTGTTACATGGATGAACTTCAAAAACAATAAATGAAAGAAAACAGACACAAATGACTACACATTGCAAATACCACTTATACAAAAATGCTTTCATTTCCCATATGGTTAAAATTTGCATTTTTAACCATATGGAAAAATTTTTCCCATATGGAAAAATTTGCATTTTAGATTCTGAAATACAGTATTTACTATAGAGATGGTAGAATAGTTAATGTTTATAATTTAAAAATATTTTGGTTTGTATTTTTAGCAGCTTTATTGAGGTATAACTGACATACAGTAAACTGTACAGTTAAAATGTACAATTTAAAATGTCTAATACAGGTGTATATCTGTCAAAATGTTCCTACAATCAAGAAAATGAAAGTATCCATTATTCCTCCCACATTTTCTCATGTCCCATTAATCTTCATTCATCTCCTTGTATCTATTCCTCCTCTTCCTTTTTTCCCACTTATCTTCTTTCATTCAGCATAAATTAATCAGCATAACATATGTTCTTATTATGAAATTATATTAAACAACATGCATGCTGCTTAAAACTTTCCCAATCATTTGTTCTATAGTTTGAATTTTCCCATTCAGAGTTTTTACATTGAATTTTAAATTTACCCTACTCTTCTAGTTGTAATTGACAATTACAATGGTAATTGTAATTGGTAATTAGATAGATATTTCATGTACATAAATAAATTCTACCACTGAAAGTTAATGTGAAGTTACATGTCACAGAGGAAAGTGTTCTGGTAACAAGAGTTATGAGCTACCAACTCAAGCCAGGTTGAAAAGTTTCTTCTTGACAATTTATATAATAGAGTATGCAGATAATTTTTTGTGGTTTCACTCATTCAACAAATTTGGCAGTACAATAAAGTTTTTCATTTCCCCCATGTTTCTGAGTCTATGAGAACTATCTAGATAATTATTGAAATTATCTAGAAAGCTAAATGATGTTAAATACTAATCTGGGTTTCTCTTGAGTTTGTCTCACTTGCCTGTGAGTCATTATATTTTTTGGTTTCTTTTCAGACCAAATGTTTATCAAGCTTGTTTCGGGATACTGGTCATCATTTGATTCAGAATAATAAAGTAGGAGGAATTAATTCTCCATTGTCCAAACCACCTGTTCCTAAGAATCTTAAAGAAGATAAAACAGTCAAGGAAAAGGAATTAGAAGGGAAATCTAGACCTGGGGATATGGTAGGCTGTTCATGAGATGATGATTTTATTTTGTTGCATTCCAGAAACTTACACTGATTTCTCATTTGGTGAATTATGTCACTTTAATTTAATTGCAGCAATGATCCTTGTTCCTGACATTGTGAAGACTGTAAAATTCATTTTGGGGTGTGTTTCTTTTCTTTTAGCAAGCACCCAGTATAAAATCTCAGAGCTCAGATACTCCTTTGGAAGAACCTTCTCTCTCCCATAATCCAGAAGGACAGGTAAATATGCATAAGGAGTTGGAAATTATCTTAGAACTACTCAGTCCTTTATTGAGCACAGTAGCATGAGTAATGGAAAATGTGGAGGAAAAATGCTCATTATCTGAGTTACTATACCTTAGATAAATTTCTTTGTCTTGTTGAGACTTTATAAAATGAAGGGATTCTAGATTAACTTTAAGGTTCTTTCCAACATTAAAAAGTCAAGTCTTTTATCAGCTTTACTTTATTAAGCACTATAAGGATGCACAGTGCATTATCTGCAGCTTATTCATCTGTCCTCAAGACACTCAATAGTCTGGTCAGTGAAACAGATTGAGTTAACTCAGTGTATGGTATAAAGGAATAAAAAGAAAGGAGGGATTCTAGAAGGAGGTGGGAAAGATGAAAGGCTGAGTTGGGTTGTAGAAAGACTTTGAAAGTGTTGCTAAAAAGTTTGGGCTTCATTCTATAATCATGAGTCACTTTTTTTTTTAAGATTTATTTATTTATGCAGAACTGGGGTACAGGCCAGAGGTGCAGGGGTGGTGAGAGGATTCACCAGAGACAGTCAGCAGAACAGGCTGACTGATGAAGTACATTGCTAAGGGGAGCAGCAGGCAGATCAGGAGAGGTCTGTGCCATGTGGGTCACCTGTGGATCACCTCCAGGGTGGGGGGGGATGGAACTCATGCTGAAGTGCTGCACTTTTACTGGCTGCACGACAAGGGAAGACCCTCATGTGGGACTTTTAAGACGTATCTTGGAGACTCATGTTAAACTTTTGAATCACATAGAAATAGGACCTGTGTGTGTTTCAGGACAGAAGTACAAAGGATGTTGAAGTTGGGGTTTCAGAAATCAGTCCATAGCCTTCTTTTAAAAAAGATTTATTTATTCATACAAGAATTGGGGTGTAGACCAGAAGTATAGGGATGTGAGAGGATTCACCAGAGACAAGAATGGAGAACAGAACAGGTAGGTTGACTGAAATACACTGCTGAGGGGAGCAGTGGGTGAGACAGGAGAGGTGTGCTCTGCCATGTGGCTCCCTGGTTGGGGACTGAACTGGTGCTGCAGTGGCTGTAGATATCTTCATAGTGCTGAGATTTTACTCCCTTATGCCACCAGGGAGGCTCCATATGCTTTTCTTATAGTAAATATGAGTGTTCATAGTTTGAAATTTGGAAAGCATTGAAACAAGTGAAGTCAGAAACCTGCAGATGCAAGATGTGAAATTGAAAAGCTTTTGTATATTGAGAAAGAAACATTAAAAATAATTCAAATTGATTTCAAGGCTCACTTTCTAGAAAAACGACAACAATCAAAGAAAAGTTAAATGAGAGGTTAATATGGGGAAATGGTAAGTTCAGCTTCGCATATATTGCATCTTGGATACTGACAAATATCTGGGTAGAAATGCCTATCAGTTTGCAGTTGGTAGACGGTGGTAAGGAGATTTTAAGTGAAAATGTAAGAATGTTATAAAGAGAATATATCTGTTGGATCCATGAAAGAGGTTTGATGGATGAAAGAACTTAGAATAGTCCCAAAAAAGTACTGAACAAGTGAAAGATGACCTCACCTGGGGTAGAAGTTTCAAAAAAAGTACTGAACAAGTGAAAGATGGCCTAACCTTGTGTAGAAGTTTCCAGGAGTAATATTGAAACTCCCTTTTTCCTAAAAGAGAACTACTGTTGCTATTTTTCTATGTAAAAAAAAAAAAAAAAAACCTTTTAACAGTGGAGATCACACTGTATATTTGAGTGTATAACCAATTTTCTCATTATATAATGTGCTACTAAAATGTTTTCATAAATATATGTGTTTCTGGAAAGAATAACTTAGAGAAAAATGTCTTTACAGCAATATGTAGAAGCAGGGACATACATCGTGTTGGAGATTCAGTTAGACAAAGCCTTGGTTCCAAAACGAATGCCAGAAGAGCTAGCCAGAAGGTTTGTAGCAATGGGTCTCATAATTGTTTTGTAAAAACAATTCTGGTATAATAAAAGGAGATCAGTTTGTCCTAATAAATGTAATTTTCCTTGAGCTGAGCATCAGGTAGTTTTTCATCTCCCCTCACCCTAAGGTAGTTGTTTTTTTTTTAAAAAAAAAAAACTTTTCATGTGACCAAATAAATATATAGACCATTACAAAATTGTGAGAAAATCAAGATAATCAAAAAAGTATTTAAAAGTACCAAGATTTTTACTCATTCAGTGATAACCACTTTTACATCTTTTTATGTATCCTTCTGGAGCTGTGATAAAGTCCCTATATCAAACACACACCCCAAACCAAATCGTATATAAGTTATGTGTGACTTTTTTTTAAAGATTTATTTATTTATGCATACAGAGCTGGGGTACAGGGTAGAGGTGCAGGGGCAGTGAGAGGATTCACCAGAGACAGAGTGGGGAGCAGAACAGGTAGATCAATGAAGCACACTGCTGAGGGGAACAGCAGGCGGGTCAAGAGAGGTCTGCTACGCCATGTGGATCACCCCTGGGGTGGGGTTTGAACTCGTGCTGAAGTGGCTTTAACTTCTCAGTGCTGAGCTTTAACCCGCTGTGCCACCAGGGAGGGTCCATAAGAATGTGTGATTTTTAAAAGCTATTTTTATATTGTGCTATAGTGCTTTGATTGTGTTTCTAGCAAGTTGTCCAATTTGTTGATAATACAATTGCTTATAGTATTTGCAGATTATTCTTTTTTATCTCTCTTTGTAACTGACTTCTTTCATTTAACAGAATGCTATCAAGCTGAATAATATTTTATTGTATAGATATGTTACATTTGAATTTTCTATTCTTCAGATGATGGACATTTGAGAAGTTTACTCTTTCTTTTTTTTTAAATTAAGAGCATGCTTATTCTTATTACTGTACTCAATAATGACTGTTAAAATGAAAGTGGACTTATGTAACTCACATTTAGAAACTACCTGCATCATACTGAATAATAGTAAAAATTCCTACAGTGCCTACATATTCTGCAGCAACTTTGCATTTTCTGTCTAACCAACTGGTCTCCTTGCTATTCATCTTCCATGTCAGGTACATTCTTGCAGGAAGGCTTTTAAATTGGCTGTTCTCTTTGCCTATCACTCTCTTCCCCCCGATATCTATATGACTTGATTACTCACTTCACACAATTCTTTACTCAGATGTTATCATCTCAGTGATGCCTCTGGTGCAATGTTCCCCTTATTCCACCACCACCAGTCCTCAGAGTGTCTGCTTCCTGCATTATTTTCCTCTATAAGCACAAATCACTAACACATTCTTCATTATTATTTGTCTTGTTCATTGTCTTTCCTCATTAAAATGTAAACTCCATGAAGACAAGTATTTTTATCTGTTGTTTTTAGTGCTCTTTTTCCCAACACCTAATAAAAGAGCCTGTCAGATAGTTGGCATCAGTATATATTTTGAATTAATGAATAGACAGCATTATCTCTGCAGAGGAAACTGAGTGACTGGACAACAAACTTGGAAGGAAACATTTTATTATGTATTGTTTCTCCTAAGTTTTAAATCATGTGATTATATAACCTATTAAATAAAATTAAAGTTGATAATTATGAACAGAGGTTTGTAATTATATAGGTCTTATGAAAGAAAAATAGAATTTGTGAATCTGATTGCAAACCTCATGGCAGTACAATATATTTCAGTACAAGTCCTGAAACTTATATTCAGATGGAAGAGTTGTAGTTTAATTCTCTTTCTGTTCTTAATAGGTCTCCTGAAAATGGAAGGTAAATTTTTGTCATAAATAGTTCGACAGTGACAAAATATATTTTCTTATTCACTATAAAGTCTGATATCATTATTGCAAATTTAATGCAATTTTTTAATGACCAAGAGTAAACTTTTAAAATCTCAGATCTAGAGGAAAGAAAACATTCGATTGCATGTAGCACTTAAAATTTCCAAGTTTTTTTTCTAAATACTGAGTACCTAAAATTATAACACCTATTTCTTTCCAGTCATGAATAAAGAGCTTATTGTACACACCACATATTTTAATATATATAGGGGCAAAGTCAGGACTAAAACAGAAGTAAAACTCAAATATTCACAAAGTTGTTGCTTCTTTCCTGTTTAGTTTATAGCCTTATCCTTATATTTTCTGAGATTCACATGTCGGGGCTTTTACATGAAAGAAAAGCATGGTGCTTAGTTGGATGGGGGAACAGATTTTATATCTCCCCCATCCAGGCTCTTTGGAGGTTAGAAATAAGAGAATAAGTTTTTTTTGTTTTTTTTTTTTTTTTTCTGATACAGGGTGAAGGAAATGATTCCTCCAAGGCCACCTCTTACCCGCCGGACAGGAGGAGCTCAGAAAGCAAGTGCCAAACCCAAATGAAACTATAACTAATAAGATGTTGAGTGCACCAGTACATTCATTTGAAAATTAGCTATGAACTTTCAATTTGTTCTCCAGAAGTGGTGACAACTCATGTTTCACACATTTTCCTTTCTGGTTCTATTTGTAATAAGTAGCATGCAATGAATAATATTCAGTGTTTAATCTTTCTTTAATATGAGCTGGGAAGAAAAAGGCAATTTATACTTAAGTTTTAGGCTTTCATTCTACATGTTGACCTCTTTGGCACCTTTTTACCAGGCATAATATTTTCCTAGGCGGTGAGTGACTATCACACACAGATCAAGAACATTTCTAGAGCCATTCTAGATGAATATCACAGGATGTTTGGAAAACAGGTGGCTAACCAGGGTAGAGAGATGGATAATGAAACCTTGGAGGAGCAGAAGTGCCAACTCAACTATGAACTTAATTCCTCTGGAAAATACTTTGCTTTCAAGGAGCAACTCAAGGTAAAATACATTTAATCCAGTTCTATTTTTAAAAATGAAGCTTCTTTGCTACATACCCAATTGTTTTCCCTCTGGTTATGTTTATATCCATTTATGTTGCTAACTTTCACACAGGGTACAGAAAGCAGTGTTCTCTAATAAAATATGGGAAGAAGCTTCATTTCTGCAGAACCTTGAAACAGTTCACTATCCATTCCAGGACACTAATCTGGCCTAGTTGAGGCTAGGCCAGATTTCTCATTTCTGTAGCAGGCAGAAACTGCCTGGTTCAGATTCTATGACTAATTGTCTCAGTCCTAATATAGATCTTGACCATAGTTCATGAAATCACTAAGATTTGAAAAATATTTACTTAATGTCAATTTCCCAAATAACAGTGGCTCACATTTATTATTCAATCTACACCAGACATTTCTGCTCTCTACCAACATTTTAAAATGCTTTGTATTTTACTAATTTAATCTTTGCAGCGACCCTATGAAGTAGGCACTGCTTGTCTTACAGATGAAAAAAATGCAACATTAGTTAATTAATTAATTTGCTCAAGTGCACAAGCAAACTAAAGGACAAATAGGAACTGAAATTCAGGTAGTCTCACTCCAGAACTTACATCATTCTTAACTACTATGCTACGTAGACTCTCTGTGCACAATTACTATGTGGCTTCTTCTCAATAAATGTAAAAAACAAAAATAATAAAGTGAAAAAATAATAAAATGAAATAATAAAGTGAAAATCATCTAATGTTCATGGAGGCAAGAAGCTGTTCTCACTAGGTGGCATAGTCCATCTCAGTTTGATTCCTGGCTTTATAATTAGTAGCTGAATGTGGTCAAGTTACTTAGCTCTCTGAGCCTCAAGTAACAATGAGGAATAACATTGATATTTTCACATGGGGTCGCAATGAACATTCAGTGATCTAAAGCTCACAAAGTGCTTAGTACAACATCTGGCAATTATCTCCGTTTGAAAGAGAAAAAAAGTTGTTCTGTCCTTAGCAATGTTCTTTGTACAGCATTGTAAGCTCATGATTTATTATTTCTCTTTGGCTTCTCTACCATCTTCTAAAGTAAGGTAGTAACACCAGAATTACATATCCTTTTAACAAGTGAAGAAACCAAGGTGCCCATGTATAAAATAATTTGAGGTTACAGGGTAGAACCTATAGGGCCAGAATTCCATTCTCTAGCTTTTGAACCACAACTTTTCCCCCCTCTCTCTTGAATCATGTGGCCTCTGAGAGACATAATACATAAACCAGATACTAAGGTTTACTTTGGCTTTATGACTGTCTTCACACAGCATGAGACCTGCATTGACTGTATTAGTGATGATGGTGACACCAAGAAAAGACATTGTATGTTATGGGGGTGGGATCAGCACAGGGGAAATCAGAGAACCAACCAACAGTCCAGTAGTCAATCAAGTCAATCTTCTGAAGTTGTGATGAGCTTTATGCCAGAAATTGAAGGGACCCTGTGCTGTCAGCATGGTGCTGGACTGTGTTATCTGATTGGTGATCTTGGTTTCTTGTAGCATGCTGTGGTAAAGATCGTGAGAGAGAAGTATTTGAGGACAACATCGTTTGAAAGCCAGGAGGAACTACAGACATTTATTAGTGAACTCTATGTGTTCCTGGTGGATCAGATGCATGTGGCTCTAAACCAGGTAGGTGTTCAAGAACTAAACGCTCTTCCTTTCTTCTACAGCATACCGAAAGTCTCCTGTCAATGATCTCCTTGTTCCTTGCATCCCATCTTCATTAATTTGGCAAACATTTATTGAGGTTTCTGCACTGTGGTAGACACTGAAAACACACAGATTAATAAATATTGTTTAAGTTATAAGGCTAGTTTGGGTAGGAATATAAGAGGATCAATACGTTCAACTTCCTAGAAACATTAATTTCTTAACTGTCATAAATATGATGGATAAAATAGATAAAATTAGCTATATAAATATTGAAACATAGTATTGATTAATTCTGAATGTATACAATTCTCAATTGTTTTTATCAACTAAAGAAAACCCACAAGTTTTCAGATGTTTTATTCATATTGCTGTGATACTTCAAACATGCCTTTTTTATTTGACCTGCTCCCCTTCCACTTGTATGTTTATATTTGCACAGCTTCTGTCTTGCCTCCATTTGCTCATTTTTTAATGCATACAGCTATGATGTATTTGAAAACAATGATAAAATCAAGGTCTTGTGTCTCTGTGGCAGTCTCTAGTTAATTAGGCCTCCTCCAAGTTTTTCTTCTATTTGCTCTTTCCTTTACTGTTCCATCCTTCTTTACTACCATCATTTTTTATTTCATCTTATTTAGCTTTCCTGAAAGAGGTAAGAGAGGATTGTCCAGTATCATAGGATTAGAAGAACAATCCAGCCTTATACACAGATGATTTGGATGAATTAATTTGGAAAACAACTGAGAAATCAACATGAGATATTAATTACTGTTGTCTTATAACCCCCTAAAGAGTTCCTGTTTAAAAGAAGAAACAGGCACAAAACATAAATAGGTGGAACAGAGCGAGCTAAGTGCAGTGATACACGAAATTCATGGTAGGACAGGTTAGAGGGTGTCAACATGATCAGCCTTACTCTGAGACCTTTCAAGGAAAGATTCACAAAAGAGCTATGGCATGAAATGGGTATTGAAGGCTGAAAAGAATTTCAGTTGGTAGATATACCAGAGCATGTGAGTTATAGGAACATCACCTGACTTATAAGCTTGTAAGAATACAAAAACTGCACATAATGTAGGAGCAGAGGCCCAAGAGGCTAAGGGATAAAGAAACAGGAGATGAGACCAGGGATCAGTTCCAAGTAGAAGAGTTGGGAGTGTTGAGGGAGTACTGTATGCTTGATAAATAAGTTTTTATTTTTCCACATATCAGCAATAAATTTAATACTTTCCCATTGGGGAACAGTATAATCAGATTTGCATTTTACAGAGACACTCTGAATGTGTTATAACAGCATGTATTAGAGGCAGTGAAACTGGTGATGATAGTTGGCTATTGAATAGTAAGGAGAAAGAATAATCAATTCTTAAGTTTAAAATCTAATGACTGGGTAACTGATAGTACCAGTAACCAGAAAAAGAAATATGACATGAGTAAATATGGTGGAAGGCAGGTGATGTTGAATTCAGTTTTGAATATTGATTCTAGTGGGGAATCAAGAGAGAGATCTTAGCTAGGTAAGAAATTTGGGAAGTAATGTGTATATAGATGGTGTTTAAATATGGTCATAGATGAAACTGCTGAGAAAAACATGAGTAGAGAGAGAAGTAAGCTAGTGGTAGAACCTTAGGAAATACCAACACTATAAGGGATGGATGAGTAAATTAGTTAATGGAGAAACAGATGGTGTTGTTGAGAAGGCAAAAGTCAGAAAATAGTGGTGTCACAGAAGTGAAGGAAAGAGAAATACATTTAAAAAGTGTCAAATTGTAGGAATTCAGGAAAACAAAATCTGAAAAGTTATCATTAGATTTAAAAATAAGGAGATTACTATTAATTTTATACATTAAAATGATACTTATACAAACAACAATGACTTGAGGAGTAAATGATTGATTAGAAAGCAGGCGAATTATACATTCAAGAAGTTGGAAGATGAGAGGAAGAAGTGGGGAAGTAATAAATGGAAATTACAGAGCACATCTTAAGATGGAAAAAGATTTGAATATTTTCACAGTTTGAGGAAAGTAGCTGGGAGACTGGTAGTTGAAAGTGGTGGGAAAGATGGCAATCCTAGGTATATAAATGGGAAAGGACTGATAATTTAGATGTAAGGGTTAGCCTTGAAGCAGAAGGATGTGATGCCTCTTTCTCTGAGGCTGAAAGCAAGAGATCCAGTGAATATAGAAATGAGTGTTAATTGTGAGGTTCAAAGTTGAAGGATTTCTTCCCTATTTCTACTTCCTTTGTGAAATAAGACCTTCACTGAAAGTGAAGGAGAGCAATTATAGGCATACTGCAAGTGAAGTTAGCACTTTTAGGGAGACTTTGACAAAAAATGGCAGAAGGTTTGGAACATGGTATTGGGAATGGGGTATTGGCATTTCTGGCTTGGGCATGGATATGTGGAAGGATTTGTAGGTCAGCATCAGCAAAACTAAAATGAACAAAGAACACAGAGGTATTAATAAATAATAAGAAGCTTTCTAAGCCATCTCAAATTTAGTTTTACTCTGTACATCTCTTAGCAACCATACTTGTTAAAGACACCAATATTCCTTTTACTCTTATTAAAGATTTGGTGGGGAGGTTCCTTGATCATAACTTCTCACCAAGGAGATCACTTATTACACTAGACCTTCTTTCCTACTGAGTGTATAGGCTACATTATTTTTCTGGGTTCCCACCTACCTTTCTGGTATTTTCTAAAATACCTCCTGTGTAGGATCCACCAAAGTATAAATCTGCTTTCCAAGGCTTTACCCTTAGTCTGTTTTTTCCATGTTTGAAGATCCTAATTAGTGCTAGCCAAATCTTTTTATGTCATGGTATCTGAAAAATTATTGCAATTGTCCTTTATACTAGAGAAAATGAAGGAAGCTGTTTGAGATCAGAGATGACTTGCTTTGAGATTCTGACTTCACTGAAGGCTGAGACTAGTTCTGCCATAAGTAATTTACTCACCTCCATGAACTCAGCCTGTGGTATTCAAATATCTGAACTCTCACTCTAGATATTTCCCCCTTGGTTCACCTTTACTCTCTAACTGTATTGACAAGACTGTAAAAAATCAATATCATTTTAGACCCCATGGCTGCAATCTCACATATGGTATATGCTTACAAATCTTCTCTTTTGCCTGCCTTACACCTTGATGTTGACAAGACTATGCCAGATGACATCCAAGGTGCTGTTTCACCTAGTTATACAATGAATGAACAGCTTCAACTCTTTGCATTTGAAGCAGAAGTCAATGAGGACTTTGAAATGGCAAGAATGTTTCATGAAGAGGTAATTATGTCTTCAGAGCAGTTGTTGTTACTGTTATTTGTACAATATGGGAATAACTATTTTTTGACTGTTTAAAATCCAACTGGATTTGTAAAAGAGTAAACACATAGTAAAAAAAAAATCCCCAAATAGGTCCAAACAAATAAGAATATTAAATTTTTATCAAAAATCTAAAGGAAGTTCAATGGATAAAGAATAATTTTTTTGACTAATTGTGTTAGAACAGTTGCAAAAAAATGAACCGTGACCTAAATCTCAAATATTACATAAAATTTGACTCAAAATGGGCCAGAGGTCTAAATGTAAAACATAAAGCTATAAAAAATTTAGAAGAAAACAGAGGAGAAAATCTTGGTGACTTGGAGTTAGAAGAGTTCTGAGACCCAAAGCACCATCCATCAAAGAAAACAATTTGGTAAATAGAAGTTCAAAATTAAAAGCATATGATCTGTGAAAGACACTGTTAGAGAGGAGAAAAAAATTACAGACTGGGAGAATATATCCACAAAATATATAATCTGATAAAGGATTTGTACCCAAAATACTGAGAACTGGGCCTTCCCTGGTATTGCAAGGGGTTAAGCACAGCACTATGAAACTATCTACAGCCACTGCAGTATGAGTTCTGATCCCTGCCCTGGGGAGGTGACCCACATGGTGCAGCAGACCTCTCCTGTCTTACCTGTTACTTCCCTCAGCAGTGTATTTCAGTTAGTCCACCTGTTCTGTTCCCCACTCTGTCTCTGATGAATCCTCTCACTCTCCTATCCCTACTTTCTGGCTCTCTATTGTATTTCATTGTTAGCACAGTACAGATTATTGAAGCTTTGTAAGTTTTGATACCAGGAAGTATGATTTCTCCAGTTTTGATTTTTTTTTCTGCTATTCAGGGTCTCTTGAGATTGCATATGAATATTAAGATTGATATTTTTATTAAAAACATAATTGGGATCTTGATGGACATTACATTGATTCTGTAAATTGCTTTGGGTAGTACTGACATCTTAATGATATTAAGTTGTATAATTCATGAACATGAGATATATTTCCATTTAGTTGCCTTCCTTAATTTCTTTCAACAATGTTTGTATTTTTCACTCATTATGGGATGCATTTCCCCCCCAGATATGTAGGTAAACTTATATCTGCCATCTCAAAACTATGACAAAAATGATTATGTATGAATCTTTAGAATGAGCCATAAAGTGATCTTTAGGTTCCCAAGTAATTGAGAGAGCTATAGTGATGAGAATACTGACAGTAGGTAAGAATGACTTGAGAACTACTTTTAGATTATTTCAACAAAAATTTATGGCTACATATTAGCCAGAATAGTGAATTTGCTAGGCTTTCAGAATTCAGGGATAAGCAAAAAGGAGATGATTTTTTTTTAAAGATTTATTTATTTATTTGTACAGAACTGGGATACAGGCTAGAGATGCGGAGGGTGAGAGGATTCACCAGAGACAGAGTGGGGAACAGAACAGGCAGATTGACGAAGTACACTGCTGAGGGGAGCAGCAGGCCGGTCAGGAGAGGTCTGCCTTGCCATGTGGATCACCTCTGGGGCAGGTGGGAATCGAACTCATGCAGAAGTGGTTAAGCTTCTTAGTGCAGTGCTTTAACCCGCTGTGCCACCAGGGAGGGAGGAGATGATTTTTTTGCTTTCGTAGAGTGTGGACTTCTAGTGAGTCAGGGACCTAGGACACGGCGGTAAGGGAAATCAGACATGGGGGACTGCTCTATCCAACATGCAGTGAAACTTTATTTTTAAGCATCCCATTTTATACCCCTTGTTCCCAAACTTCAGCAAAAGCATGTCTTTTTAATTAAGCTCTGTATACATTTTTCTTTTTCCCAGGAACTTCTCAAAACAGTATTGGGCAGCTTCCTCTCACACATACACACACACACACACACCTGGATTTCTTTCCTTAAATGGCTCTTTGATGATCTTTTCTAAAATGCTGGGCTGCACACACATGACCTCTGACCATGTTCTTGGTTCACAGTCCTGGTTTCCAAGGGTTTTCCCATGGATGCGTGCAAAGTTTTCGCATGCACTAGGTGGACCATCAATAGAAGCCTAACAAGATCAAGCAGGCATCACAACAACAGTAGAGCTTATAGTACCTATGGAGTACTTATTGTGTGATGTTTTATATAGAGGTAGATATAGATAGATGATGGATAGATAATGGAGTGTCGCAGGAACCTTAATCCTTCTGATATTCTGTGTGCTAGAGGTTGGCCCGTGAGCCCCAGAACCTGGAGAACTGGCTGGACTATGGTGCCTTTTGCCTCCTAACTGAGGACACTATCAAGGCACAGGAGTGTTTTCGGAAAGCTCTTTCCCTCAACCAAAATGATATTCAAAGGTATGAGCTGAAGGGAGATGAGGACTGAGTAGGAACAGATATGCTCCTATATAAAATTGTCTTGTTTTAATGACTGTGACATGGGACCATGTTTGTAATGATGTTAGTTATCTTTTTAGTTTGTTGCTGTGTGGTGTCCTGGCTGTCTTGATGGAGAACTATGAACAAGCTGAAATTTTCTTTGAGGATGCTACTTGCTTGGAACCAACTAACGTTATAGCCTGGACTTTACTGGGTGGGTATGGTATTTTCCTGTGATCTGAGTGTGTTTTCTTTCATTATAAAAATATTTTCTTTTCCACTCTTTTATGGCTCAGTAGTTATTTAGATTATGGTAAAAATTTAAATGTTGCAGCTCTTTAGTTTGTGATGGTAGAAAATTAGTCACACATATCTTTTTTTTAAAGATTTTTTTATTTATCCATCCAAGATCTGGGTACAGGCCAGAGGTGCGGGAGGTAAGAGGATTCACCAGAGACAGAGTGGGGAGTAGAACAGGCAGATCAACTGAAATACACTGCTGAGGGGAGCAGTATGTGAGACAGGAGAGGTCTGCTGCGCCATGTGAGTCAGCTCCCAGGTGGGGATCAGAACTAGTGCTGCAGTGGCTGCCAATAGCTTCACAGTGCTGCAGCTTAACCCCTTGCGCAACCAGGGAGGTCCAGTCACACTTATCTTGGCATCATTTTTCTTCAGGTTTGTACTATGAAATTCAAAACAATGATATTCGAATGGACATGGCATTTCATGAAGGCTTCAAACAGCTTCAGGCACGGGTGCTTCAGACACAAGTAACAAAACAGAAGAGCACTGGTACTGTAGAGTATGTTGAAGAAGGAGGAAATTTAGAATCTGGTTTGGGCCCTTGGAGAATCACTAGTGGTTCTTCTACAGTAGCATTCAAAGGGGAAGCTCCAGCAGGTAGGATCAAGGAATGGAGATGATGAGTGGTTATTGGGAAATTTACTGGTCTAGTGAATAGGACTGCCACATAGTAGGTCTTCAATAAATATTTCTTAAATGAATAATTTGGTGTAGTTCTGAGTTATCCAGAGATAGTAGGAAAGACTAAGTATTTCCTCATTCATATGATTGCAAATCTAAAGCTCTGCTATTCTTTTCAATTTTTTGAATCTTAGAGAATTTACTGTTTCTGTGTACTATTAAAAGATGTCATTCTAGCAAAATAAATATTTTTCCTCTCTCCTTTTCAACATGTAAGGTCCCTTTCTTATAATTACTAAATTTACTTATTTATTTTCCTTTTTCCTGTTTTTCATTGTCACACATGATAATAGGGTAATTAATCATTATAATGTGTTTAATGTAGATGTGTATCTTGCAGGCATAATTTTTCATGTTATTTCATATTGCCATTTTGTGTACCTGTATTTTCAAAAGTACGTCTAAGGTATAATTGCTATTCCATAAACTCATATATTTATCATGTACAATTTAATATGTCAACATATGAACACACCATGAAAATATCCATAGAGTAAAGAGAATCCCCAAAATATTTACCATGCTTCCTTTCTCGTTGTCCTCATTTTCTGATAATCACTAGTTTTCTATCCCATAGATGAGTAGGCATGCTCTGCAATTTTAGAATTCTAGAAATTTTCTGGAATTAAGAGAATTGTAGAGTATGTACTCTTTTTTGTCTGTTTTTTTTATTTTAACAAATGTTCATAATATTCAAAAAATTCAATATAACATAAGTTCATATTATTCCTTTATTATCCTTTCAATGTTCATGGAATCCTGAATGATATTGCCTCTTTCTAATATTAATAATTTGTCTCTTTTTTTTCTTACTTTGGCTGGAGGCTGACTGATTTTATTGATCTTTTCAAAGAAACAGCTTTTAGTTTCATTGATTTTCTCTAATAATTTCCTCTTTAAGTTTTTATTATTTCTGTTCAAATTCTTGTATCTCTTCTTCTAACTTTTTACTTCATTTTCTTTTCTTTTGCTAATATATAAATTTCCTGATGAGCACTGTTTTTGCTGCATCACACAATTTTTGACAAGCTGTGTTTTCATTTTTATTTAGTTCAAAATATCTTTGTTGACTTGTATATTATTTAGAGATTGTTATTTACTATTCACATAGTTTTATATTTTTCAGCTTTCTGTATTGATATTTAGTTTAATTGCATGTGGTTGAGAGCTAACACTGAATGATTTTTAATCATTTAAATTTGTTAAGGTGACCTACACTTTGGTCTCTATTGGTGAATGTTCATGTACACTTGAGAAGAATGGGTATTCTGCTATGTTGGATATAGTCTTTGGACATCCATTATATCCAGTTGCTTGAAGGTGTTGTTAAGGTCAACTGTGAACTTACTAGTTTTCTATTTGCTGGATCTATTTCTGAGAAGTGTTGAAGTCTCCAACTGTGATAGTAGATCCATTTATTTATTTTTGTAGTTCCATTAATATTTGCCTCATGGAATTTGAGGATCTTTTAAAAGTCTAAAAATTATGTCTTCTGAGATAATTGATACCTTTATTATTATATAGGAAGCTTTTTGTTGTTGTTGTTGTTGTTTTGTTTTTCATTAAATTTAACCTGTTTAGGACCTGGCATTCCATTATCCATTCTAGATGAATTCCTTGATGAATCATCCATATTACAATCTGATTCACAAGAACCTGCTATGCTTATGCAACCTCAGGATTCAGCTCTTGGCCAAAAACCATCCAACTTATTTCTCAAGGAGATGCCAGCAAAAAAAGGTATTTAGGTATAAAGGTTTCCATATGAGAGGCACAAGTAAAGTAGACAAAGGTGAAAGCTGTAATATTACCACAATGGAGCTCTTACCTTGTTTGAAGTTGATTATTTTATCTTTCATATTGTCTTAATTCATTCATGTGAAGCCAGACTCTGAAATCCAAACTCAGTGATGCAACTCTTCTATAAAGTGAAAATTTATATTTTGCTCAGAGAAGAAACGAACCACCTATCAATGACTTTCTAACAATAATTCGTAATTTTTATACTACCTATAAAAATTGTGTTTCTTAGGCAGGATAATATAAAGACTTAAAAAAACAAAACAAAACCATATTTTACCTTCTTATGACTTGTATTTGGAGCCACCAGAAAACTAACCAGAACCTTTGCTGTTTAGAGGGACCATTGCTGTTTAGAGCAATCTATTGCTTTCCATATTATAATCCCTCTCATGTAGTACATTAGAATATGCTCCTACGACAATAATGTTTCTGTGCTTTTGAGATTTTTTCCTTTACATCTAATTATCTGTTCTTTTAATACAATATTTTTAGAAATATCAAAATGTGAAGATTCATCAACTTTGTTGCATACCACCCCACAGGGTGTTTCCCAAACTCCTACCACCATCTTCATGGAGACAATCCGCTTCCTGATGAAGGTCAATGCTGTGCAGGTTAGAGTATTTGGAAAATGGCAAGCAGATGAAAATATTTTAATGACATTTATTCTGTCTATAGTGGTATCTTTGAAAGTGGTATGAAACAAATCATATATAATTTTGAGAGTATAACATAGACTCAATGAAATTAACATCCAAACATGAACCACTCTCTGCAAGAACACTAGAAGACCTCACTGTAAATCTTCCTGTAGAATACCAAGCAGCATGAAATTAGACTTTTAAGTCATTATATGGGTTTTTTTCAGTTTATTATGGGAACTCAGTGTGAGTGTTGGGGGTTCATAGAAGTTTAGTTATCCCCTCCTTTTCAGGTTCTAAATCAATCAGAAACAAAGGGAAATGAAAATATTAATTTTTTATTGGTAAACGAATAAAAATGTTACTGTTCCCATATTTGACTTAAATATTCAGTCACAGTTGGAATAAATGGAGAACTGCAGCAGCTTTTCAGAGAAGAGCATTCTGTAAGGTCTCTCTACTAATGGGAAACAAGAAGCATATACATGAAGCAAATAGTGGGAGAGAAAGATCCAGGAGCCAGGATATTTGGTCCTGATCTAGCAGAGTGCATGATCACCTTGAGGATGGGGCAAGATCAAGAAAAAGGAAGAATTATAGACTGGGTCCACTGGGAGTAGGTCATATTAAACAAAAGCACTAAACTCATTAACTTTTCCCAGGAGACATGCAGTCTGTTTTCCTGGTTAAATGAGTCATTGTTCCTCTAAGTTAGGTGGCCAGAAGGCATGAAAAGGGAATAGATACAGAACCTCCCACTACAGTTTCTTTAAGAAGCTTAATAGAAATTTCTATATATAGGCTTAGGTGGGAATAGAGGGAAGGGAAAAGATTTTTTCCCACCTCTGTTTGGCAAATACATCTGACTATCAAATGTGCAGACTTTATATAGTATTAAAAACAGAAACTAGTGCAAAGCATAAAACTGGTGGACAAATGTTTGAGTGTGTCAAAAACAAATATTTGTGTTTCCATGATCCAAGGCTAGAATTTTAGACAGTGAATTTTTTTTAAAGATTTATTTATGCATACAAGATCTGGGGTACAGACCAGAGGTGCAGAGGATATGAGGATTCACCAGAGAGAGAGGGGAGCAGAACAGGCAGATCCATTAAAACAACTGCTGAGGAAGCAGTATGAGAGCTACGAGAGGTCTGCTGCTACATGTGGGTCAGTTCCCTGAAGGGCAGGGGGGATGGAATTCCTGTTGCAGTGGCTGGGGTTAGCTTGATAGTGCTATTTTTAACCCCTGTGCCACAAGGAGGCCCAGAAAGTGAAATTTTGCCTCACTGTAAGTATTCTTACAGTTACTGCCTCCTTATATCTTGTATGTAAATGGTTGATGAAGTGCCTTTATCTTCTGCATAATTAAATACAGGCTAAAGTCATCTAGTATGATCAACTACAAGGTCAGAATTGAGCAATACTGAAGATTATTTACTTGGAAATGTCTACATTTGGTAACTAATAGCTGGTGAGGTGCTGAATGTTTATCATTTACCTCCAAATTTTTGAAGTTGGTAATTTTATTCTGTAATATGTTCATTATTAGAGACAGAATTTCCAGTCTTAAGAGGTGTGGAACTGACACAATGTGACCATTTCATGTTCTTAATAATTTGTTTTTCTTGTAGTATGTGCACAGAGTGCTCGCACATGAGTTGTTGTGCCCTCAAGGAGGCCCCAGCTGTGAGTATTACTTGGTGCTTGCACAGATACATCTTCTCAAGAAGGATTTTGCCAAGACAGAGGAGTATCTCCAGCAGGCAGCCCAGATGGACTACCTGGTAACAGCTTTTGCTAGAACTTAATGAGTTTAGTTTGGAGAAGCTGCAAGCAGTCTTTTTTGAAGGTAGTAAGTAAGATCTTACCACAGGTAGATTTATGATTATCAGAGGTGAAGGCCATCAGCTGTCAGTAAACTCACTTACCTCCTTTCATTTATTTTTCTTTAGCAAGTTTTGAAAAATGCAGAGAAGAGGATAAGACAATTCTCTGGCAGATAGTTTGCTGACTTAAAGTTTTCTGGATGCCTGTTTCTCAATGTGAACACTATATGGTTAAGTGTGAATTTTTTCTTAATATTTAGTCCAAAGACAAAATGACTCTTAAGAATGTAAGAAAGCAAGGAAAAAAACAGGACAGACCTAGACAAATATGTCACAGAGCAACTAAATGGCTTTCTTTGGAAATGAGTGCTATTAGAAAAGGAGAAGACAATCTAAGTTTAAATGTTAAATAAGAATCATTAATATGCTTTAAAATACTACTTTGCCACATGTAGTGCATATTGTTTGCTTTCTCAGAACCCAAATGTCTGGGGTATAAAGGGCCATCTCTATTTTCTGAGTGGGAATCATGCTGAAGCAAAGGCATGCTATGAGCGGACTATTAGTTTTGTGGTGGATGCTTCTGAAATGCACTTTATCTTCCTACGACTGGGACTCATCTATCTGGAAGAGAAAGAGGTGAGAGATGGAGGATAGAGTAACTATGTACATCAGTCATGATCTGGGACTGATTACAGTTCAAGCCTTAAAATCCACATCTTTATGGACTAAAAATATTAATATGGTAATTGCACATTTACATGGAAATGACTTCCCTGACATCAGATAACCAGTAATTAATAGAAGCAGGACTCAAATACAGGCAGTCTAATATTGGGGTATCTTTTTTTTTTTTTTAAAGATTTATTTATTTGTACATACAGAACTGGGGTATAGGCCAGAGGCTCAGGGGTGGTGAGAGGCTTCACCAGAGACAGAGTGGGGAGCAGAACAGGCAGATCTATGAAGTACACTGCTGAGGGGAGCAGCGGGCAGGTCAGGAGAGGTCTGCCACACCATGTGGTCACCTCCTCCGGGGCAGGCGGGAATCGAACTCATGCGGAAGTGGCTTTAGCTTCTCAGTGCAGTGCTTTAACCCACTGCGCCACCAGGGAGGGCCATGGGGTATCTTTTTAACCATATTGAAAAGTTGTTAAGAACTTACTTAATAAATGTTAATTTAGCTGACTTTCTTTTATTAACAGCAGTTGAAGCCATTCTTAGCTTGGGTTAACCAATGGGAAATGTTATGGGATCAATAGAAGTTCTCCAAATTTCTTCCTCAACACAAAGGGTTACATTTTAATTCAGTTGAGGCTAACTCCAATCCTCAAAGCATTTTGACCTGACTCTAGCAGTTTCATTCCATATTCTAGGAAACACAGCAAGACTTTCTAAAAGAAATTGTCTCTCATGGAAAATTCCAAATATACAAGCATGCACAATATGAAAAATAGCACAATGAAGCAACATGGACCCATTATTCTACTTCAACAATTATCAATGCTCTACCAATGGTCTGTTGATGCTATACTTTTTTTTTTTTTAATTTCAGTCCATGTATCCCTGTCCCCTCTCTCATCCCCCTAACATTTAATTTTCTGTTTAAAAGCAACAGTAACAAGAAGTTACAAGATCTTATAATTTAAGTAGGAAGTCTCACATAGAAGAGATCACTATTCCATTGCAGTGAAGTAGACAAGAAAAAGTTGATTCTGATGTCATTGTAACCTGGGCTTCACAGGGCTGCTCTCTTATGCAGTCACTAGGCAAGCAGTTCTTAGGTTGCTTTCTGAGGCTTAGCTACTGTTCCATCACTTACATTGGAGATACATGACAAAATCTGATCCAATGAGGGGTACTTCTTTTATTTTTAGTTATTATGTATACGTTATATATATTTTACATCACTTCTCCTTTTTGTACAGAGTGCATGCTTTCTCCTTTCAGGTGTAGTCCCCATAAAAGTCCCACCACCACTTTACCTATGTATCATCACCCTAGTCCCTTTGCGTTCTTCCATTCCCTGTTTTGATCCTTCTCCCTCCCCTTCCCCTACAGAGTGTCTTTGATTCATAGTTGCCTATTGAGTGCTAATTTTTTTTGGAAGTTTGTTCTTTGTATTTTTCTAATGTCTCTAGCATTACTAGATATTCTAATACCATTTATAACAAGGGAACAGACAGAAAAATGGGTTCTATCAAGTATATACTCTTAGTTGAAAGGAGCTAATCCTTAAAATTTAGGTGGAATTCAGATAATCACTGTGGTTGATCAGAACATTCATTACAGCTCCTTGCTTCTGTTCTTTCAGAGACTATCAACATCTTTGGAACAGCTTTCAGGCCATAGTCAGCTCTTTAATTTGGTCCATACTTCCCCGCTTACCAGTTTTAATGTGATAGCTCACTTTAAAATAGACATAAAAGTACAATCTAAGCCCAGAATAGGAGAGAACAAAGTTGGAGACTGATGCTACATAATGTCAAGACTTACTAAACAGCTACAATAATCAAGACTGTGGTATTGGCAAAAGTATAAAACAAATTAGATCAATGGAACAGAATACAGAATCCAGAAGTAGATGCACATAAATACAGTCAACTGATCCGTGAGAAATGAGCAAAGGTCATGCCATAAACAAATATAAATTTTTCAACAAATAGTGGTGAAACAATTGGACATCCACATGCAAAAATAGAAAAAGAAAAAAAAATTGAGATATATCCTTTATACCCTTCACAAAAATTAACTGGATCATAGACCTAAATGTTAAATTCTAAATCTCCTAGAAGGTAATATAGAAGAAAATTATTATCACATGGGGTTTAATGGTGATTTTTAAATATGATACAAAAGGGATCATCCATGAAAGAAAGAATGGATAAGCTGGACTTCATTGAAACTAAGAACATGCTCTGCAAAAGACAGTGTCAACAAGGTGAGAAGAAATGCCACAGTCAGGGAAAAAATACTTGTAAAAGACACATCTAGGAAAGAACTCTTACCCAAAACTTAAAAAGAACCCTTCCCACTGAACAATTAAAACAAAAAAATCCAAGTAAAATAAAATAGGCCAGCGACCTCCCTGGTGGCACAGCAGGTTAAAGCACAGCACTAAGAATCTAAAGCTACTTCAGCATGAGTTCGATCCCCACCATAGAGGTGATCCATGTGGTGCGGCAGACCTCTCCTGACCCGCCCGCTGCTCCTCTCTGCAGTGTACATCTATGCCTGTTCTGCTCCCAACTCCGTCTCTGGTGAATCCTCTTACCGTCCCTGCATCTCTGGCCTGTACTCCAGCTCTGTGTGCATAAAATAAATAACTCTTTAAAAAAAAAAATAGGCCAAAGATGTTAATAGTACAACAGGTACCTCACTCAAAAAAGATATACAGATAGTAAACAAGTATATGAAAAGATACTCTACATATGTCATTAGAGAAAATGCCCCCTTCCAAAAAAAAGGAGATACCACCGCATACCTTATAGTTGACAAAGTCTAGAACACTGTTGACAAGGATGTGGGACAGCAGGAACTCATTTATTGCTGATTGGAATGCAAAATGGTACACTTGTTTTAGAAGACAATTTAGCAATTCCTTACAAAATTAAAAATATTCTTATCCTGTGATATAGCAATTATGTTTTTTGGTTGAAAGGTTGAAAAAACATATCCACACAAAAACTTATAGATGATCTTTAACCTAGCTTATTCATAATAGTCAAAGTTTATAAATAACCAAGTTGCCTCTCAATAAGTAAGTGAATGAATAAATAATCTCTGGTACATTCAGAGTAATGTTCCATTACTCAGAGCAAAAAAGAGACAAGCGACAAGTCATGAAAAGAAAAAAACAAAGTGACCATAAATGCATATTACTGAATTAGAAAGACGTCAATCTGAGAAGGCTACATACAGAATAACATTCTGGAATAGATCAGTGTTTACTGAGGATGGAGAAAGGAGTAGTAAATAGGTGGAGCAGTAGAAATACTCTGCAAAATGATGAATACATGTAATTATAAATTTATCCAAGGGCCCTCCCTGGTGGCGCAGCGGGTTAAAGCACAGCACAGAATCTAAAGCTGCTTCCGCATGAGTTCGATTCCCGCCTGCCCCGGAGGTGACCACATGGCGTGGCAGACCTCTCCTGACCCGACCGCTGCTCCCCTCAGCAGTGTACTTCGTCGATCTGCCTGTTCTGTTCCCCACTCTGTCTATGGTGAAGCCTCTCACTGCCCCTGAGCCTCTGGCCTGTACCCCAGTTCTGTATGCAAAAATAAATAAATCTTTAAAAAAATAAATAAATTTATCCAAATAGAGTGTATAACAGGAATTATCCCTAGAGGTGAACTTTGTGATAAACATCACAAAGTTACCATTCTGGGGGTGTTGATATTGGGGAAGGTTATGCATATATGGGAGTATAGGGTGTGTGGGAAATGCCTGTACTTTCCTTTAAATTTTGCTGTGAACCCAAAATGCTCTATGAAATTAAGCCTTAAAAGACATACCCAAGGATTTATTTAACTTAGATTGGTCTGGAGTGCAACTACCCATGATTATCTTAGCAATGCAGTATTTGAAGCTTCCAAAAGAAAATAATCTAATAGTACTTTCTTTGTTTAGTATGAAAAGGCAAAGAAAACCTACTTGCAAGTCTGTAAGAGATCACCTTCATGTCTGACCTGGCTAGGACTGGGCATCGCCTCTTATCGGGTAAGAAGAGAAAGGTTTAAGACTAGGTCTGTGCAGACAATTGATCTTGATTAGTTGGTCTTCTAAGCATGCTGGGGGTTTGTGATAAGAGTGAGATCGCAATCAGGGCAGTAATTTCTAATAAAATGTTACTTTCAAAAATCATTCAGTACACTGAAGGTGAATTTGAATTGAAAAAAATAGAACATTCTTAAATTTAATTCCACAACTACCTGAAGGAAGAAGGTATATGACTGATATCATGTTCTTGGGTAAGGAAGCCCATAATTGTATGTAATCTGAAAGAAAAAAGTGATATCGGATATGAAGAATCCACTAAAAGAAATTCATTAATAGTAAGATCAATGACCCTACTATATTTAGAAAAAGCTGTGACAACTTCTAGTAGTCAGTTTGCTCCATCACCCTTAAGGACTCTCTTGTCACCCTTTCCACCTTCCTAAGATCTTTGAAAGACAAATATATCCTACTGTTCTTACCTAATTTCTTTACATATATTCTTGGTTATCTCCCTTTCTCTTCCTCCTAATACTTACCCTTATTTTTTTACTTATCCTTGATTTACATTTTTAACATTCTCCATCTTTTCTTTCCCTGTACTTTTATCCTTTTTATTAAAAACTGATCATCACATTTATCTTCCTCACTGTTATCTTTTTTTTTTTTTTAAAGATTTATTTATTTGTGCATACAGAACTGGGGTACAGGTCAGAGGCTCAGGGGCGGTGAGAGGCTTCACCAGAGACAGAGTGGGGAGCAGAACAGGCAGATTGACGAAGTACACTGCTGAGGGAAGCAGCGGGCGGGTCAGGAGAGGTCTGGCTCGCCATGTGGTCTCCTCCGGGGCAGGCGGCAGGCGGGGGGATCGAACTCATGCGGAAGTGGCTTCAGATTCTCAGTGCTGTGCTTTAACCCGCTGCGCCACCAGGGAGGGCCCCTCACTGTTATCTTTAACCAAAAAAGTTATTTACATTTGTTTCCTCTTCCTTATTGCTGTGTTTCAACTTAAAGGTAATACATGTTCATTATAGAAAGTTTGAAAGATATAAAATATGGAGAAAACATAAAAGTGTCCATAGTCCCACCACTCAGTGGTAACTACTGTGAACCTTTGATCTTCATATCTTTTTTATACATGTATCAAAGCAATTTTAACATATAAAATTATAAATTTATATTTACAATTATGTATTTGCTGGCTTGTAAATTTTTTCCTACTTAACAGTTATCTTTTCTCATCACCAACTAGTCTACAACATGAGTTTTGATGACTGGTGTTCTCTGCTTTGAATGCACTAGTTATGCTAATATTAGTGGAAAGGAAGCTTTCCAAATAATATTATTTTGACAAACTAATAGGACTTTAACCTTAATAAAGGGATACATAGTGTAAAGGAAAAATCTACAAATCCATCAGATAGCACCTTGCAGGAGGAAATCCCTGAATGTTACATGCATGATCATTATTTGGTTTTCTAACCCTGGAACCTGAAGTTTCATTGTTCAGTGGTCTGATGGAACTGATGTAGAGGGAAGGAGGAAAAGAGGGTTATAAGTTGACAGCCTACTGGGCAGAGCTTCAGATTCCTCCACCTTTTTAATTTAGTAGTTCTACTTTAAACTGGTTTATATTTTGCACCATATAAGATTTTTTTTAAGATGTTCCGTAACTAAAAAGTTGGAAACTATTGATAGTGTACACCAGTGTTATTTAAACATAGTTGTTTCAGCTAAACTTGACTCCAGTGAAAACTATTTTCACTTAACAACTGACATGTCTTCTTTTTCTGTTAAGCTGGAAGAGCTCACAGAAGCTGAAGATGCCCTTTCTGAAGCCAATGCATTGAATAACTGCAATGCTGAAGTATGGGCATATCTGGCTCTAGTCTGCCTGAAAGTAAGTGTTTATTCTCCTTACCTAACTCCTTATAGTACAAAGAGCTAAGGGACCAAGGAAAGCAATTGATTAGTGTAATGGCCATTAATGCATGGTAGTTTGATAAGTTTTAGATTTGGTTGTTATACTGATGATAAGGGAGAAACCAAGCCTGGGAAATCTGCACTTAGAATGTGTTTTAAAATGATATACTCAAAGAAAAAATATATATACTCAGATGCCTTTGGAGAGATTATAAAAATGGGGATAAGTTTGTGGTCTCAAGTGAATGGGGATGGGGTAGACCAAGGCTTGCTCGCTGTGAGTTAGGGTTAGGGTGGGCTCCCTGTGGCACAGTTAAGCTGCAACTCAGTCTCCAGCCGAGGCTAGTTAGCATGCATCCAGTTTAGTGTGTGCCCTGCCTCAAGATGAAGAAGGATGATGGATATCATAGCCATTGAAGGTGGCTATGCAAAGGCTGTGAATGACAGTAGCAGATTACACTAAAAGGGATTAGATAAGAGGAACATGAGTGATTCTCCCATTGTTTTAATAATTGACCAGATACTATATATTCTTTATAATTGTCTCAGCAATCTTCTTTGAGTCCAGGATTTGAGATTTCAGTATTTATCTAATGCTCATCAGAGCATGTATATAGATACATGGCATTTATAATTAAATGTATTTATTTGTATTTAATGGTTTCATTCCTAAGTTTCTATTTCATTAAAAGTTTTCAAAAATAAATTTAAAAATACAATACATTTGTTTAAAAAATGAAATTTTTAAATGGGAACATTGTTTTTAGGAGAATGTAAATAAGGTTCAAGGACCAGCAAAGAAATTGCTCTACTAGTAGTCCAGAATTTTTTTTTTCTTTTTTTCCAGGCCGGACGGCAACTGGAAGCTGAGCAGGCCTATAAGTACACACTGAAGGTATGATGTAGATGCCTCTGCTACTTGTACTGTATTGAGGTTGGAAACTGGGAGGAAGGTGCTGACTAAATTCAGGATTTTGTAGCAATTCATGATGCAAAATTCCTCTCACAATAAAGAACAAAGGGACTATTTCACCCCTCTTTAAAGAGCAATGATTTTAGCTTATATATATATATTTTAAAGATTTATTTATTTGTGCATACAGAACTGGGGTACAGGCCAAAGGCTCAGGGGCGGCCAGAGGCTCAGGGGCGGCGAGAGGCTTCACCAGAGACAGAGTGGGGAACAGAACAGGCAGATGGACGAAGTACACTGCTGAGGAGAGGAGCAGGCAGGTCAGGAGAGGTCTGCCACACCATGTGGTCACCTCCGGGGCAGGCGGGAAACGAACTCATGCAGAAGCGGCTTTAGATTCTCAGTGCTGTGCTTTAACCCACTGCGCCACCAGGGAGGGCCCGAAAATGTGAACTCTTTTACAAAATAAACATCATTAAAATTACTTTACCAAAAAAAGCACAAAAATTTGGTTAGGGGGAAGTGAGTTGTTATCCCATTTGAGTGTTCATACCATTTGATGAATTTTCATAAAATGAACATATCTTTGTAACCAGTAGCTATTTCAAGGTCTTTTAATGGAGTTAACAGGTAGAGAATATAGAAAGATTCAATTTCATATATAGAATCTATGTTGTTAAGCTGTGTCCCTTGAATGTATATTAGACATGACTTATGTCTTTCCTTTCTCTCATGCAGCTGAAATTGAAAAATGCAGCTCTGCTTGAAGAGATCCATATGGTACAGGAGGCAGTTGGCTTTGGAAATCCATCTTTTTGACATCTTTGCATGTGAAGAATTTTCTGAATGGGATTTTGAGGTCCTTTCTTTCCCACAGAAATTAAGCTATGAAATATGAGACTTAGGATGGAGAACAAAAGAATCTTTAAAGAGAAATTCATTCCTTTCTGGTAATGGCTTCAGAACCCCTATGTCCAACTCTGTAATACTGGATGCGTTACTAATTGACAGTAACTGGACTACATTAAAAGGAAGAGCTCATATTTCATCAATGTGGTCTGGGAGTTAAGTATATATAAAAATATAATTAATTATAGGGCCTCCTACTGGCAAAGGGGTTAAGTCTCAGCGCTATTACCTCTAGTTCCAACCCCGGCCAGCGAGCTAACCCACATACGGTACAGCAGACCTCACCTGTTTTGTCCCCGGCGCCTCTCAGCAGTATACTTCAGTAGATCTATGCCTGTTCTGCTCTCCACTCTGTCTTTGGTGAATACTTTCATCCCCACCCCTGAACCACACCCCTGTTCTTCTATGCATCAATAAATTTTTGAAAAATTAATATAGTTTCAGTTAAGGTATAGTGGATTCATCATCATTAGACTAAGATGAAAACATCATATTGTCACTATCCCTTCTAGACATCACTTGCTGAGATCCCTGGCCAGGTACACTCATTGGAACTTGGAAAGTAAGGCATTTTCTAAGGTGGGCATAAAGGAAGTTCTGGCCAGACCCTTTAGATCTAACGATGAACAAAGAGGCTGAACAGAGGGCTTTGCTCATGAAGGTGGCGGGACTGTCTTCCTTCTATAACGGTTATTTTTACGGATGTAAACCACAAGGGCTCCAGTGACCACGCTTCACCCTTGATCACAGCAACAGCAAAACAGAAACTAAGGCTACTTTATTTTTTAAGAGATGTACAGATGAGAAAGGTGAGAAACGTACTAGTAAACACACCAGTTAAACCCTACATTCACTCATAGTTCTTCCCCAGTCTACCCGGATGCTATCTCCCTGCTTCATGAAGTCTTACCGAGACACCCAAGAGGTGTCAGATTCGCCTTTCCTCTGCTTTCCCAAGTCTGTACACAAGTGTAACCCTATCATCTCCCCATCAGCTTTCGGGGCCAGATACCTGCCCTTGCATTTTTGCGTTCTCAGCGCTGCGCCTAGGCACCAACGATGCAAAATAAGTGTGCGGAAAGGATGGATTTATGGAGAACTTTAGCATTTCTCTAAAGACCGCCGGGAATTCCCCCGTTATGCTACACCCGCAGGGAGTAATAGATAATGCTACCCGAGACACACACAAATTGTATCGCCGGGCACTGGCAGTGAAGGAAAGCGGAAGGGGCGGGACGAATGGGTAATTTACTTCCGGCACCGCGGCCCTGGTTAAGCTGTCGGCTTAGGGGAGGTGCGGGGGTCCTCGCTGTCCCGCCGCGTTGCGCCAGTGTGGGTCCTCTCCACTCCCTTGTTCCCGCATAGCGGAGGTCTTGAAACCTCTTCGCGGGGGCTGCAGGACTTTCCGAGGGGCGGCAAGCGGCGCACGGGCCGCCGCGCACGCCTGCCGCACCATGGTCCGGCTCTGTGAGTGGGGGGCGCTCGGGTTCCGTGGACAGGCGGTCGCTGGCCAACGGGCTTACGGGACGGGACGTGGCGTTCTAGGCGGGCTGCAGGCTACCGAACCAGAAACTGCCACACTGTACCCCACGCTTGATTCTTTTCTCAGATTTTTTTTTCTTAATGCTCGGGGAAACGCTGAGATAAAGTGATACTTTATAGTTAAAGTCAGCGGAGGCTCGGGATCGGTGCGGACGAATGCTGAATGAATTGCGGGATGAGGAGGATGTCATTTCAGAATGGAATGCATGAGTGTCACAAAGAAAGCAGATATATCTAAGCCGGCTTGACGAATTGGTTCGAAGTTAGAATACGTCCGCGGAGGAAGGGGATTGTTTTGTTGCCCTCATTTTGTCCGTTTTGTGCTCTTGATTCTTGTACCTTAACCAGTGATGTCTCTACAGCTTCTCTCCTCTGCAAGGCCTATCGAGGAGGCCACTTAACCATCCGCCTCACCTTGGATGGCTGTACCAACCGACCATTCTACCGCATAGTGGCTGCTCACAACAAGTGTCCCAGGGACGGCCGGTTCGTGGAGCAGCTGGGCTCTTATGATCCACTGCCCAACAGTCACGGAGAGAAACTCGTTGCTCTCAACCTAGAACGGATCCGGCATTGGATTGGCTGTGGGGCCCACCTCTCTAAGCCTGTGGAAAAGCTTCTGGGTAATTCATCTCTTGCCTTACCTCATTAAGGATGTTTTAAATTGAAGTCAGTTCCAGGATAATGAGAATAAAAAGTGATGTCATTACCTCCAGGCTACTTAGACCTGGAGTGAGAGCTGAAGTTGTGATCAAATGACGTTTTGAATCTGGAGACCCTTATTGTGGATTCCTTTATGAAACCTTTTTTTTTTTTTTTTTTGGACGACTGGAATTTTATGCAAAAGAAGGGAATAGTGTGTTTTGAATGGCCATCTGTCATTTTTTTGTTTTCAATTAAGGAAATTAGGACACAAATAACAGCCATTGTCTCCTTGAAGTGAAAAGAGGGGTAGGGGGTTGAAGAAAGATGTAAGGCATTTGCTTTAAGACAGAGTTTGACTTGTGAAGCTTGTTTTAAACCCATGCTCTAGGTCAGGCAGTGTTAAGAGTTCTGTGAAGCTGAGTTCCTAGGGAAACACTGACATGTGCTTTTCTAAAGTAAGATTTTGTTGCTTTTAGGTCTTTCTGGCTTTTTCCCTCTGCATCCCATGATGATCACAAATGCTGAGCGATTGCGACGGAAGCGCGCCCGTGAAATCCTTTTGGCATCTCAGAAAACAGATGCAGGAGATACAGAAATAAAAGCCAGTTAGCTCACTTTAGTTGAGCATAGCAGTGGGAACAAGGTCAGCGTCTTCTTAAAACACTTGTGCAGAGCTCTTAATTGTATTAGACTTGGAGATCAATAAACAGACTTTTCTGAGCTACCTATGTCTTTGGGCTTGGCTTGCCGTGTTCTCATGTGATGTGGGGTTAGATCTATGTACTGATTACCTTTTTCAGGCTTCATTTGAGGAAAAACACTGGTTGTGTGGTGGAGTGGACTTTGGGTTGGGCCCTGTCATTTTACATTCTGCTGCCTTTCCTATTTCAAAGCTCCCAACAATCACGTCTTTGGCCCATCCAAGTAATTCCTTCCTTAGTCTTTTATGATCTCCAAATCTGCTCAAGAATATACTTATTTTTGTAACTGCAGATATATATTGTCTTGATTGAGTCAATCTCATTACAAAGGTAGATTTGTTATTAACTTCTGGGCTAATACACTTTTTAGGGACGAGAAGATGGGAGAAAGTTAATATATCTAGATAATTGCTCTTTAAGATTATTTGTGAGAATTATAAATTATTGTGAAAATTTATCTATTGTGGATTTACCTGTAGGTATTGAGAACTTAAGTCTACATGGTTTTAATATTGGGCAGAATCAAACTCAGTTAGATAGACCTCAGGGTGCCTACTTGGAAAGCTTTATTCAACATATTTTGTCCTGGGCCATGGGAGGGGCAGTGACATAGCAAGGATGAGGGATTTTTCAAAACCCCACTTTAAAACGTGAGTGATAGAATTGGATTTAGGTATTATGAGTTTGGTAATATAAATGACTGGTTTTGCACAAGATGAATAAAAAAGTCTGTCCCACCAGAACTACAGAGTCTTACAGCTGCAAGCATGGTTTAGATGGTTTTAGGATACATTCTGCTTAACACATATTTCAAATTCTGGTGTAAGGTGAGGATATATCCCTATATACTATTCCTAAGGAGAGTCTAAAGCCCCTGTTAATTTCTGGGTTTTTATATTGGGAGGACAATTACTAGCCACCTGAAATTCCGTAGTCATCAAGGTTCCTTCAGGGTGGTCACTGGTTGGCCTCAATTTGCTTAGAATGAAACCATAGTGGATCAAAAATTGATTGTATTTGGATTTGATCTTGGGTCTGGGGAAAAAATGCTTTGCAAAACTCTGGAACTCTGGGAAGTTTTGAGAACTTGAGATCTTTCAAGAATCGATTAGTGGAATGTGATATTGTAAGGGTGGTTCACTGAGGAGAATTAATGGATTAAAGTGTTATTTTGAGCAACTAATTTCTGCCAACTCGTATATCCACTTTGTGCCCTGACGTAGCTTGACATCTGTGTAGGATACTTCCTGTTAGAACTCGTCCTGTCCTGCATTTCCAAAGTGTTCCCTACACCTTAAGATCTCCAGGCCCAAATTTCTCACCATGTCCTGCATGATTGCATCCAAATTGAAAGTCAGCATGCTCGAGCCAGCTATGTAGTTTACAAAACTTTGGGGTTAGGGTGGGGGGAGAACTTTGCTTCAATAACTTATATTTAACCTTTAGGTTGCTCCATGTGCAACATGCCAAATGCTGATACCATACCTTTTTTTTACTTAATAAAAAAGCAGCTAATTACAAGTTCAACCTAATATCTGGCTGTTACTTATATAGTTAAATGAACTGCAGTGGGTAGCTGGGAGAAGAGAGGCGCCAGATTTGCAGAGTAAGGGCAGGAATAACGCGGAGAAGACTAAGTGGTAGCACCTGGGATCCACAGGCCTTTCCAAAAGGCGGATCCGGTGCGGAAGACCTGGAACGTGCGTTCACGCCCAACTCAGTTCGGGCGTTCCCAGTCTGGCCACGCCTCCTCTTCAGGCCGCCATAAAGTATGGACTCTCGGTCACGCCCCTTCCGGCGCCTCTTGTGACGTAGTCGCCCGGGGCTCTTTGCGCGGGAAAGGGTAAGCGGTTCAGCGCTCTGCCTAGTGCGGCAAGAACCGGTTGTTTTTCCCGAGGCCACGGCCCGCTACGCCCCTCAGCTGGCCATGGGGCTTCTGGAGCTGTGCGAGGAAGCGTTCGGCACCTCAGACCTTTACCGAGTACTGGGCGTGCGGCGTGAGGCCTCTGACGGCGAGATTCGGCGCGGCTACCACAAGGTGTCCCTGCAGGTGCATCCGGACCGGGTGGACGAGGGAGACAAGGAGGATGCCACTCGCCGCTTCCAGGTGGGCACATACCCGCTCCCCGGCGGACGGGTCGCTGGTTTTCTCTTGGTCTTCTGGCCACCTGGTCCCGACCCGGGTGGAAAGCGCTGAACCCGCCTGGCGTTTTCTAATGTTTAGTTTCAGTGAGAGGCGCAAGGGTAACTTTTGATGCTTCCTCCTCCTCGCAGATTCTCGGAAAAGTCTATTCGGTTCTGAGTGACAAAGAACAGAGAGCCGTGTACGATGAGCAGGGAATAGTGAACGAAGACTCCGATGTGCTCAACGAGGATCGGGACTGGGAAGCGTATTGGAGGTTACTCTTTAAGAAGGTAGTGGACTCACTATTCCTGTTACTCATTCATGTTTACGGAATACTCCTACGCCCTTGCATTTTGTGTTTTGTAGGAGTGAGAAATTTGATGTCTAAATACAAATAAATACAAAGACATTCCTCAGGGGATATATGTATATAGTTAATACTATATACATATTTATTTGGTTTTATAAAGCGAGCATATATACTGCATGTATACACTGAACAAATCTTTAATCACTTGACTATGTATGTACAGTATATGTGCGTTCACACAAACACTCTCAAATGAGTCTGTAGTTTCTCATTGATGTAGTTGCAAAAAGGAGGCATTTAGTTTTCTCCCATTTTGTACTTTATTTTACATATTCAAATATAAGTTGTGAGGTTCTTTCTGGTTCTCGTCTCACCGCTGAAAACTTAAATTTCCCTGGTCCTTAGTTTAATGTTTGTAAATATTGGCTTAAGGAGAACTCTGGGAAAGTTTTGGCATAGAAAATTTGCTTCCTTGCAATAGTTTCAATCCAAGCAACTGTTGTATTTTGGGAGAACATTCCAACACCTAAATTTAGTTTTACTAGTTTACTTTTCATTTAAAGTAAAATTCTCAAAGTTAAAGCATCTCTTATTTATTCAGATATCTCTAGAGGATATTCAAGCTTTTGAAAAAACATACAAAGGTTCTGAAGAAGAGCTAAACGATATTAAACAGGCCTATCTGGACTTCAAGGGTGACATGGATCAGATCATGGAATCTGTACTGTGTGTGCAGTATACAGATGAACCCAGGATAAGGAACATTATTCAGCAAGCCATTGATGCCAGAGAGATTCCATCCTTTAAAGCCTTTGTCAAAGAATCAAAACAAAAGATGAATGCAAGGAAAAGGAGGGTAAGAATTTGGATGCTATTTATTATTTGTATCTTGACTGCTTTTAAAATTCAAGGGTATTTATAAAATAATGGAAATATATACAAAACCACTGAAATACAAACAAGGGTTAACTTGTTATGTGATTTTCATCTAATAAAATGAGCAAACCAGCTCATTAAGAGAAACTTGTCTCCTAATTTGTGCTCAAGGATTTTACCATGTGGATTAGTTTAAATAATTAGTCATCCTAAAGTAACACTGAAGTGTTCTCATCTGGACCAATTCTTATAGTTCTGCTGAGGCATTTATCAGGAGATAAAATAATGGAGTCCAGGTATGTAGTTTCTCACTTTCAGGAAACAGAGAGGATAACAGAGGCTGTGTTGTTACTACAGGTTTCTTCATTTCAAAGCCACCTTCATAGGCTAAACCTTCCTAGATTGATTTTTAAGTTGGACACACAACATATTTTTTAGTTTATTTTGATGAAGAGGTCTTTCCACACATACTTGGAGCAACACTTTTGTGCATAATGACGAATTGTGACCTTTGTGCCACATTAAACTGGAGTTGATGGGCACAGCAATTATGACGGGAGAGGAGCTTAGGGACAGCTTGACTTTTGGGAAGGAGCACATGCAAGGTAGCAGAAGTGTGTTGCAGGTCTTTTGGGAAATTTACCTTGAACTTTTACTGAAATAACTTGTTTTGAGCCTAGATTTCATAATGAGGACTTCAGACATTACAAAATTTTAGGTCTTTGGTGGATACCTTATTTTGTATGTCTGACATGGGGTAGGTCTATAATTTTTAAATAGAAGATGCAACCGAAAACTGACTTGTGTGTATGAATTTAAAAGACCTGTTTTGTCTAGCTAAAAGGTCATGTTATCTCTGCTTTGTTTAACTGAGAAGTAGAATGCATACCAATTTAGACTAATAGGCTACCTCTGTTTAGACTCAGCTGACAGTTAATCTTGAATTGGTAATCATTTTCTCATGTGAAACTTGTGCAGCTGGGTTCAGTGATAGGGTGTTAATGTGAACCTTCTCTTTAGTATGGGGGAAAGGAAAATAGCAGTTTTGAGTGATACAAATAAACTTGGGATGTGTACGGTATTAAAAGAAATAAACTGAATATATGAGGACTCTAAATACAATGGAAATTATGTTTCTATTGTAATGACAAGGTCCAAATGTATCATCATTCCTATGACTAATATTCATGCTACTTAGAAAATTCACTGGAGACTCAGGCGAGCCTCCTACAGAGGTTAAGAGCCCCTCTTAACATTCCCAAGGTATTCTGGCAGTATTTTGGAAACTTTGCCCTGGGGAAATTTTGGCATAAGGAGGTAGCTTTGAAATTAAGGAAAAGTCAAAACTGAATTTACTAGTGTTTCTTCTGACTCAAGAAATTTTAAATCAGGATTGCTCTCAAGGCTGTCAGCAGTCACATGTAGTAAATTGGGTTTCTAGAGGAGGAATTTGAGGTGCTTTTATCCTTGGTAACATTTTTGAGGGCATCCTTGGTTAAGTGACCTTTCCTAGTTCTATCCTTTTTTCTTATTACCGGGTGGTTTATGAATCCCAAACTAGTGACCACTACTAGGAAGTAGAAATGGGGAAAACTTGGAAATACTTACCAGAATTGGAGGTTATTACTGCTTACTTCCAGTACTGCTGCCTTTTAATGACTGATATATTTGTAATTTTTTCTTTTTATGTATATAATCCTTAAAAAGGTCGTACATTAGATTCACTTTTGGCAAAAGAGGGTATGGTTTTATCATTTGCTAGGTTGCCACAGAGTCTCACATTATTTCTGTTTCAGGCTCAGGAAGAGGCTAAAGAAGCTGAAATGAGCAGGAAGGAGTTGGGGCTTGATGAAGGAATAGATAACTTGAAAGCAGTCATTCAGGTAAAATTAGCAGCTTTTCTGTGAAGGTTATTGCCATTTCTAATACATTCTGATTCCTACTGCTGCTGCTTTCTTTGAAGTGTACACATAATATTATGGACATTTCCTTTTCAGTCATTATTCACATACCTTATATTTATCCTTTTAAAGTGTACAATTTGTTGGTTTCTAATATCTTCATTAAGTTATACAACCATCAGCACTAATTCCAGAACATTTTTATTACCCTAAAAAGAAATAGTCATTCCCCATTTTCTCTTCCCACTGGTCCCTGGCAAACACTAAGGTCTTTGTGTTTCTACAGATAGTTTTGTGTTTCTGAAATCTGGTGTTTTAACTTCTCAGAGTAGACAAAAGGATCGGCAAAAGGAAATGGACAGTTTTCTGGCTCAGATGGAAGCAAAGTACTGCAAACCTTCCAAACGAGGAGGGAAAAAAACAACTCTCAAGAAAGAAAAGAAATAATGGAATTTTTCTTCAAAAGTCTTTAGGTGTTAATTGTAGCACTGTAGACAAGGTACAGTCAAAATTTGAAGACAGAAGTCAACCCAACCCTTGAGAAAAGTCTTTTTCTAGCCTAAATTATTTAAATTGACTATAAACCAAGCAGAATCTTTCAACTTGATTTTAGTATGTCCTAGAAATTCCCTGACATTCTATGAGGTCTTCAGATGAAAGAATTCAGTGGTGATAGTTGGGGGAAGGGAACAGGTGGAATATGACCTGACAGCACTTGCTTCTGTGGACCTGTTCTACAATGATCTCTATTTAGAATGTAGGTCTGTCCATACTGCCTTTAGCAGTTGTCATTTTGCCATACAGGAGGAAGCCACAAAATATTCATAGTAATGTGCATGCTTACTGGGAAAAAAATTTACCTAATTAGAAGGCCTTCAATGAAAAGGTGGACATCTAACAAATACTAGCCTCTTTTCTTTCCACCTAATGGTTTTGAATAGACCTTCTCTCTATGTTTTACTTAAACCAAGTTTTGTACTCTCTGCTTAAATATCAAAGAAGTGCTTAGTATTACTTCAAGTGTCTTTTTAAGAATTATACTTTATTAAATAAGTAAAACAATTGCTAAGTATTTGGGACTTTGAAAATGATCAACCCGTGGTCATTTAAAATGTGTTCTTGAAAAAAGTGTATTTAATATAGAGAAGAAACGTCCAAGGTAGTGTTATATAGTAGATAGCCCCAATTTGAGTAACATAAAGAGATGGGTGTTGTAGTGTTGGCTGTAACTGCATTTCATGGAGTCTGTCTGAACTTGTTTTCTCATCTATAAAAGAATTGTGCTAAATATTTCTTAGGGACCCCTTCCAATCCACCTTTAACTTCGAAAGGGAAGCCATCCAGTGGTTTGTTATAATGTACTCATGATTTGCAAGAATAGCACGGAATTTCACTTATATTTGTTGAGTTTTTATATATTCATTACAATATTTGGAAGTTCTTTTTTTAAGGACTTTCAATTTAAAATGACTTGTCGACTAATATATTTAATACCACATGAATAAAACAAGTCTGTCATTGAGTTTTATCATAATTTATCTCATGTAAGCATATAACACATTTCAGTTTATAATTACAAACAAGTTAAATACTCTTTAATTGTATTAAAATATTTTAATGCAAGTTGTTTGAAGCATGTCTTCATATAATAGCATTAGAACACTTTGATATAATTTAAAAATTACCCCAATTTATGATCATTTAAATTTATCCACTCTGAAGTTTAACAATATGATTAAAATAAGTATAATCACCAAAATTCAGTGAAATTTAAATGAAATAAATTTGTCATAGTTAAAACCATTGCTGTATTCATGAGTACAGACAGGAAAAAGGTCCATGGTAAAATTAGAAAACTGGATTAATTGCCAGGGTTTCTCAAATTCAAAGTAATTGTATCTTGCTTGGTCACTAATAGAAGAGTCTGTACCTTTTTATTTAATTGCTTTAGAATGATGAGAAAAATTCTCAAGATAAATTTACTATGGAAGGAGCAGGGAGGTGGAAATGAGTAGTAAAATACTTTAGGAATAAGTATAACCTGATATTAAGCAGGCTTTGTGATTTTAAGTTGTCCCCTCTGAAAAAAGAATATGATTACATATATTTGTATCAGTGTTCAACATTTATGTCCTTAGTTACTGACTTCTTCCCTGTCTTTGAGATTGAACATCTAATGAAAAAGTTTTAGGAATGACATCTGTTTGTTAAGTAGTTCAGGTTTTTGGCAGCATCACCTACCCAAAATACTTAAAACTTTTGAGTACAGTTTTTCAGAAATTAATACCAGCAAATGTATTCCAAAGCCAAGAATGATGTTATAAAACAGTCAATTGCTTTTTGGTATGTATGTAGCATCTCAGAATCGTCTACAGTAACTGAACTGATCATTGCTAATAGACAACATGAGCACTGATAGGGGGATAATTATTCATTTGTTAACATCTTTTGGTACAGATTTTACTGTCTAGTAGGATAGGTTGACTTACATTGAAAGAAGACAGTAATTGGAAATCAGAAACAGTACCAATATGATCTTTAGCAGATATTCTGGTTTTTCTCCTCAGTGGTACCAAAATAACTCTTCATGAAGGTGGTTTCACGTTGTCTCTTGTACATAAGCTCCACTCTTCATGAAATTTCCCCAAACATTGCCTGTAGCTTGAAGCAGCTTCTCATTTGCCCTATGGTCCATACCTGGTTTTAGAGACTGGTCCACTTTTGTTTTGAGATTTTGTAGACCCATGTAACTGAGGACCTATTGGACAAAGATGATATCATATAATAACAGTAGACGCTGTACAGTTTGTAGTAATCACCAGTTCATATCTTAGCACCTTTTTGGGGCTACAATTATCAGTTGGGCTTTAAATTTGGAGACTAGGACAAGGCAGTAAAAAAAGTTAGCATACTTTATAATGTTAAAAGAAATCTATATTAATATATGGAAGTAGTAACCTTTCAGAGAAGAGTTCACTAAAAAGCACTAAGATGTCTTTCACTTAACTGTCATACCTGACCATTCAAATGGCCAAATGTATTAAATAGCTCAGAGGTCATATTGCTTCTCCAAAGAAGTCTGATGTAAGAACAGGAACCCCTGAGAGTATGCAAAAGATATGGACAATGCTACTAGATATTGAACTAAGAATTAAGTAGGTATACAGAGATAGTTTGAAGGATTACTTTTTAATGTACTCTATTAAGTCTCATCATAAGCAAGAAACATTTTCCAAAAAATTACTTATTTCACTTAAATTTTTTAGCTTAAAAACCAGTCATGCACTGCATAATGATGTTTTTGTCAATGACAGACTACATATACCACAGAGGCCCCTAGATACAGCCCAGGTGTAGAGTAGGCTGTAGGTCTCAAGTTTGTCTAAGTATATTCTGTGATAGTCACACAACAAAATTGCTTAACAATGCATTTTGCAGACTATAACCCTGTTAAAATGACAGTACTGGTTACTTTGTTAGAGTGATGAGAAGTTAATTTACATATTATAAGAAAACAAATCTGGAACTTTTTGGCTCTGAGCAATAGAGCTACTTTCCATGTCCCATTTTCCAAAATGAATTTGAGCTGTTTTTAAAAATGCAAGTATTATAAAGTAAATAATACCTGGAGTTAGGGAAAATAAGTATAGGAAAATATAATAATACAAAGACAGGGTCTTGATATAGCCATCTAGTAGTAAAGTAAGAGCCTCATCCCACCTGTCCCTGCAGATCCCCTACTAGGTTGGGTGTGATAAGGATACTCAACAGCATATGAGCGATGATACTGTGTATCTGGCTGGAAAAGAAAAAGAGACATTTCTTACAATGGAACTTCTCCCAAAAATTGATTCAGTGAAACCAGACAACAATGTAAGTGGTATCCACCTCTAATGTGAGGAACAAGTGGGTTGCATATACTTGATTGAATAGAAAATCCTAAACCAAAGACCTACAAAGTCATCGATTATTTGTCAAAAATTGCAAGTTCTACAACTTAATCTATATAATTTAATATTCTAAATATTTATAATTGTCAAAGGAATTTTATCCAATTACTCTTACATGCTGTTTAAAACAATAGAACAGAGCCCTATCAGCCACACTGAAATATCCATGACTTTACCATCATATTTAAATTCAATATGAGATTCAATGTGAGACTCAAACATTTCAAAATTACCTTCAGGAATTTAGAGTATAAGATATTTGAAGTATTTAAAGACATGTGAAAAGACAGCTATCAGTGCCTTCCTCGAAATAAATGTACCCTTTTCTGAGTTCCATGTCAGAGCATAAGAATCAAGAGACTTGAATAATTTTCTGATGAAATAGCTCCATGGTCTATTTTTTTTTTTCCATGGTCTATTTTTTATAGAAAACTAGAATGAAAATATTTTAGGCTTTGTGAAACCTATTGTCATCATTGCAACTATTCAGTTTTGCTATTGTAGGGAAAAAGGAGCTGTAGACAATACATAAATGAATGCATTTACAAGAACAGGCAGCATGCTCAATCACCCATGAACTGTAGTTTGCTGATTTCTAGGTGAGAACATGCAGAAGCAGTATGCCTCCTAACAATCCCAGACCTAGTGTGTTTTTTATTTTTTAAACTTATTTATGCATATAAGAACTAGGGTAGAGACTAGAGGTTATGGTATGTGGTGGGGAGAGGATTCACCAGACACATTAGGGAGCAGAACAGGCAGATTCATTAAATTGCTGAGGGGAGCAATGATTGAGAAAGGAGAGGTCCGCTGCGCCATGTGGGTTAGCTCCCTGGCTGAGAATTGAATTCATGCCACAGTGGCTGGTGATAGATTGATAGTGCTGAGACTTTAACCCTTGTGCCTCCAGGGAGGCCCTCAGATCTAGTGTTCTTACTAACATCTATTAGTTCACCTTCCTTTTTATGACAGTAAATTGAGAAAGAAATAGCTAAGGTAAGGAATTTTTACTTTCGTTTAAACATCTGAAAGAGAAGTAATTTGAAATACTGTATTCCTGAAACAAAAATTTAATAGTTGATAATCTAACTGTATAAATAATCATCATTGTTTTAATAAATGTCCTAGATCAAAATAGGGTGGATCCTAATTCCAATAACTAGTATTTTTCTAAGAAAAATTTGAACATGAAGACACACAGGAGAGAAGGCCATTGTGAAGACAGGCAAAGACTGGAATGATGAAACGGAAGTCAAGGAATACCAAGGATTGCTGGCAACCACCAGGAACTAGGAAGAAGAACAAAAAAAGATTCTAACTTATAGCCCAAATAGTTCTACCAACTATTTTGGACTTTGAGCCTCTGGAACTGAGAAAATATATTTCTGTTGTCCTAGCTGCCCAATTTGTGAGAATTTGTTAACAGCAATTCTAGGAAACTGATAAAATATCCTATTCATATTCTCACAACTTTTCTAGTGGAGGAAAGGTTGCACAGCAGTTTACAGTGAGACAGTTCAAGGATTGAGCTTGATAAATGAGCTATAAATATTACCATCCTGATAATTCATGTGGGTTGTGGGGCCCCAGATGACTGAGCATTAAGTGTGGCTCCACTCACTTCCCCAGACTCTCCAAGCACCTCTGCCCACAAAGTAGATGAGCTGGGGCTAAAGTCCTGGCCTATCATTGGCTCAGGTTAGCACATGATCTCCAACTAGGATTTTTTTTATTGCTTTAAAGTAATAGGGCTAATAAATGCTGATCTATTGGGTTTAACTTTTTTTTATTGTTGCCAGAAATATTTACAAACTTTAAGTAGGTTAGAATTTATAAGGTGTTTTACTGGCAAATTAAAATGAATAGCAGGGGCTAGGCAGAATTTCAGTGAAATGAACTTGCCACACCTATTGTTAGAACCTCAGTTTTTATTCTTGGAGTTGATTAAACCACTATATCTAAAAAAGTGCCATACTTTTTGTTTTTTTGGGTTTTTTTTGGGGGGGGGTCACATATTTTCCCCCATCTGTCACGACCAATAGAAGGAAGTATGTTACTCTACCAAAAATGACTGAGTTGTGTTGGGCCTGGAGAAAAAGTCAGGTAAGAGGAGCTTCTCCTGGGGCTGCTGATGGTTAGGCTCATCCACTACTGCACTTCGAGCTCGATTGGAATCACCATGGGTTTTCTGCATAGGAGACAAAATTTGCAAAAACAGTAAACTTATAGTGAAAGCTGTGTACTTCTTACATCAATCCTACTAGGTATGGCAACTGCAAGCCAAGCAGCTCCAATTCCATTGTCATAAATTTAGAATTCAGGTACTTTTGACTAAGAATAAATAAATCAAGACAAGAGCACAGATTCTGCAGAATTACTGCCCATAAGGTTTTATAAGTACATGGAAAGGCAATATGAAAGAGACATACCATTTGCCTTTGTGACCCCACAGTGCTCAAGTGTTCTACTTCAGCTGTGCCAATAGGTGGCAGCAGATTATTTCGACTCAGGGGCATTGGTGAGGGAGAAGAGAACGAGTCAGCTGCCACTGGACTGCAGATCCCACCAGCGAACACCAAGATATATGAAAGCATAATATAACAATAGAAGCAAACTGATTAGAAATCAAATAAGTGAACAGAAAGCTTTATGCTGCCTATGTTTTTAAGAGGAGTTTGGGGAATTGTTTTGGGCTTCATAGTTTTTGATTTTTTTATTGAAACTGGGCAGAGCAGAAGCTGACCTTTTCACAGAGAACTAGGATAAAGCACTTTACCTTATGTATTTCTCTGCTAATTTTGGATTTGTAATTTCACATCTGATGGAATTTTCCACCATTCTGGGCCTTCTGGTAATCCTCACTAATAACTAATATCCAAGTAAATTTTTCATTTTCCATGGGATTTGGAGTAGCTTGCAGTATTACTCATACCCAAGTCAGTAACAAACTGAATGATACTTACCTCTCACAGAAAATAACAAAATTATTTGTTCCCTTTGAAAAAAGGCAGTCAGAGGAATGTGAGATTAATATACTTTAAACCACTCATTTCCAAATGAAAAATTAAGTAGCTACATCAGTACAGATATAGCTACATTAGTTAAATAGCAGGTGAAGAAAACCCTGTGTCTTTTCAAGGATTTTCGGTGGTTCTGGATTTCTTAGGCTACTGGGATTAATATAACAGGAAATTGCAAAATCAAAATAACACATTGACAAAAAAGTACAGTAACACATGTTGAACTGAGATTAACCTTGGAAGTCATCCTAAAATGACTCGTCCTAACATGTTTTGTGATTCAACAGCTAGTGAATTTCCTATAAAAAATGGCTCCCAGGTATTTGCAGTATTTTGTAAATGAAAGGTAGGTAGAGGAAAATGAATATTCTTTGTGGTATTTCCTAAGAAATGTTAAGGGCTATTTTCCCTGGTATATAAGCTAAGATTTCTAAATTTATCAATCTGATATTTACATGTTTTTTTCATCATTGGAGTAAGTTGATCCCAAATACTCAGAAAATAGTGAAGGAGAATTAACTTTTTGGTAAATTTCTCTGAGCATGTTCCCACTGAGGAAAACATTTAATACAATATATTCCTCTTATTCCTTTAAGTAAGTCCCACTGAAGTATCTAGCTAGCATTTTATTTGTACAAACATAAGTCTAACTAAGCCAATAGATAGATTCAGTATCTGTATTTCATTAAAATTTAACCCTTTTTATTCTGTACTGGATTTAAATAATGTCAAAGATACGTAGATTATTTTCTAGGTATAAATTACAAATTCTAGAAACTGCCTTTGAAACCTACAATCGGGATCCTCTGAGGATTTCATCCATAGGTCTTGGTGTTCCAGCGCATGAATGACTTGTGCTGATTGGATGAAGGGTACGTGGTGGAGGATTTCGTCTCCTGGCGGACTGTACTGTATACGACAGAGATGATGTACTAAGCTCTAGAGCTCGATTTGGCCAATTACGAGTTGAAAGGATGGTACTGGATCCAGGCCTCAAAAGTAGCTTGTCATCAAGATCTCTAGTGGCCAAATCAGAAATCCACAATGAAATCAAGATTGCTCTGTACTGAGAGATGACTCACAGCATTAAATACCTTAATTTCAAAATACATTCAAGGTCCAGAAAAACCAAAGTAAAAACTATTATTAACATTTTAGAAATTTTACAATCTAGCTGAAGTATGGGGCTTAAGAAAGGATATCATTTCACTCACATAGTTTACTAGAATGGAGATTGTAGTCACCAGTGAAGACTAACCTGAAGGTTATATAAAGTATAAACCTTTCAAAAGTTTATCAAATTCCTGTCTTACTTGGGGCAGTTTGTGATGCAGGAGTATCTCCAGGAAGCTTTCATTGAAAGAATTTGCTTTTATGGAGCAGTGTGGCATCAGGGTGACTCCTCTCCATTTGCAGAGATTAAAAGTACTGAGCTAGTTGAGAACTGCAGGGATGGGGGTTTGGGTTTTTTTGGATAGCTGGGAGCAAGCAAAGGTCCAGAGCCTTGTGTTGCCCAGGCATCCGGAGAGCAGTAGATCCCTGTTTGTATAAACTGAAATGCAACATTTTCTAAGCACCCTGTTACAAAATACCATACCTAGTTCAGTAGCTTTTAGTAGCTTAAGTTATGCCTTCAGATGGGAAGATGGAGTTAAAACACCTCACAGACAATATTTGCCCATCAAAATGGAGGGAAAGACACGGAATAATGCCCTGTGAAGTACTCTTGGCTTTTAGTAAATTCCTCAACCTTTCAGAGCACTTTGGTGTCCTCTGGTATAAAACAAGTTTCAGCGTTTGGAGATCTTTTAGTCTTCCTGCTGCCTTAACTCTTAACATACCTTTTCTTTACAGGTCTTAATTGCTTTCTAATTACCAAATGTTTAGGCCTTTGTTATTATCATATTTTATCTTTTGGAGTACTCATAATTCTGGATTTGATAATTTAGATCACTCCAAATCTGACCTCTTCCATTTTTCTAGTGAGAAAACCTTTCATTATAAACTCAGCATACCCAAGCCAAACACCTTTTTGCTCTAAATAAGCTTCCTTGGAGTGTGAATTACATAGTTGACTTTGATTCCTTCCTCTATTTCTATAGAATTTTGTCTCATATCACCACAAATATTTCATTCCTTTCTTGTACTTTGCTAAAACTTGAGAACAGATCCTTGGCTCATGTTTGAACTCTTGGATTAGATTCCTGAGTTCCTTGTGCTTCATTCAATCTGATTTATGTTCCTTTCCTGTGAAATCTTTCAAATTCCTGATTTAAATATAGATAACTCTCATGCATTGCTGGTGGGAGTATAAAATGGTAAACTACTTTGAAAAGTTAAGGTTTTTTCTTATAAAACTAGCTATACTGTTACCTATTCCATGACACTTCTAGGTATCGACCTAAGATAAATGAGACCCAAGAGTCCATAAAAAAGACCTGTGCAAGAAAAGTTAAAAATGACTATCCATAAAAAGCACAACCTGGAAACAACCCAAGTGTTCATTAGCAGAAGCATGGATAAACATTGTGGTGTTTTTTTTTGAGTTCTGCTCTATATTTCCTTTGTTGTTTAACTTGGATTTAATTTGATCTTCTTAATCTGGTTTCCCAAGTTAGAAGCTTAGATTAGTAACTTTAGATCTGCATTCTTTTCTAATGTATGCAAGCAATGCTATAAGTTACTCTGTAAATGCTGATTTTGTGGCATTCTAAAAATTTGGTAAGTTTTATCTTTGTTTTTAAAAAATATCTTTTAATTATCTTTGTTATTTAAAATATCTTAGTTTCTCTTATTTTTTTATATGTTTATTTTTACATCATTTTGTACATTTTTTTTTTCATCTCAATTGTAATCTCCGTGGGTTTCCCATCACCATAGTCCCATGCACTTCCCTCCTTCCCCCCTCCTCCCCCCCGTTTTTGATCCCATTCCCCACAAAATGTCTCTAGTATATCTGGTCCATTATACTCCTGCTATGAGTGAAACCATCTGGTATTTTTATTTTTATTTCTGGCTTATCTCACTAAGCCTGATCTTTTCCAGCTCCATCCAAGTTGCTACAAAAGACATGTGTTTCTTTTTTTTTGGTTGCTGAGTAATATTCTATTGTGTATATGTATATTGTGGTATATTCTTAAAATAGATTATTACCTGGCAATAAAGAGTAGGTCATAGGCAACAATGTGGATCTCCAAAACAGGACGGCTTAGTGCCAGCTTTCCCTCATTTCATCGAATGCCAGAGGACATTTCACTTCCCCACTAATTACCATATAGTCTGTTTTATTATCAGAATCTTCTGCCTGAAATATCCAAGTTCTCATTTATTTCCCATCCTATTATAGGAAAATGGTCTACTTTCTTTACTAAATGTTTTGTATTTACCTTCCCCACATCATTCCTTTTGCCTAGAATAGGCTTGCTGCTCTTTGTCTAACAAAATTCCTATCTTTGAAGGACAAATTCAGAACTTAAGACTTAGCAACCAAAATGCCTTCCTCCTCTGGCACTGGCTGCCACAGCATTTACTCTTTGTATCACACTTGGCACTGTCACAAAAATGTTCTGTTTGGTTAGGTAAGGTCTATTTTACCGAGATGGCTTCTTTTTCTGGTTTATTACCAATTCTAGATGTTTTTACTTCCTGGATGTTTCCATTCACTTGGCTAAGTATTCAGTACACGCACACTGATTGACTGACTTTGCTTCCATATTTATTTCTTAGTGATCTACTTAAACTTGATAGTCCATAAAATTTTATATTTCTTACAGAAGCTTGTCCATTAGGGAGAGATTTCTTGGCTGTAGAGGCATCCCATGAACCAAGAGACCACTCACATTTGGCTGATGACCACTTGCTCCTTGACAAAGACTCATCTACATGTCAAAAAAAGATATTACACATTATTGGTTGACTTGGTTACCAAATTTTACCAAAAATTAGTATTTACAAATTAATTCATTTATACATTTCCTCCTGTGCCTCACCATTTTTAACACCTTAGCAAATCACCTCAGCTGGTACCCTACTGGGGTACAATTGTCAACATGACAAGTCAGTCATTTTCTCATTTTCTCCATTCCTTTTTTTTTAAGATTTATTTATGCATACAGAACTGGTGTACATACCAGAGGTGCAGGGGCAGTGAGAGGGTTCACCAGAGACAGAGTGGGGAACAGAACAGGCAGATCAATGAAGTACACTGCCGAGGGGAGCAGCGGGCAGGTCAGGAGAGGTCTGCCACGCCCTGTGGGTCACCTCTGGGGCTGACGGGAATTGAACTCATGCTGAAGTGGCTTTAGCTTCTTAGTGCTGTGTTTTAACCCACTGTGCCACCAGAGAGGGCCCCCATTCTTTTTTTTTTGTTTTTTTTTAAAGATTTACTTAAGCATACAGATTGGGGTACAGGCCAGAGGTGCAGGGGCGGTGAGAGGATTCACCAGAGACAAGAGTGGGGAGCAGAATAGGCAGATCCATGAAATGCACTGCTGAGGGAAGCAGTGGGCTAAATAAGAGCGGTCTGCCTTGCCATGTGGATCATCTCTGGGGCCGGGTATTGAACTCGCACTGAAGCAGCTGCGACTAGCTTCCAGGGTTATGCCCTAACCTCCTTTGCTATCAGGGAGGGCCTCTTTTTCTCCATTTCTATATGGCAGCAGATATGGGAAGTCTGATGAGCTTGGTTGAAAGCAATTAATAGCCACTCTATTTGGGGAGAGAGGACCTTTAGTATTACTATTTACATTCATTACATTAAAAAAGAAAGGGTAAACTAACAATCCATTTACCACTGCACAGTTCTTATTCTTCATAAATTAGTTCTTCATTAACCATGAAACAGTTCATTCTTAGTGATAACCTAAATTCTAAAAACTGTTAGAATTTGTTCTGTTAGCAGGGTTTGATCATACTTGGACCAAGACATTGCTCCCTTACAGTCCTGCATGTTTTCACTCAGTCTGAGATAAGAGGAATAGTCAAGAAGAAATTAAAAGATTATGTTAAGGCCACAGAATATCTGACATGAGGGCCCTCCCTTGTGCTACAACAAGTTAAAGAGTAGCACTTCAAGCTAGCCACAGCTGCTTCAGTGCAAGTTTGATCCCCTGCCCTGGAGGTGACCCACATGTTGCAGCAGACCTCTCCTATCTTGCCCACAGCTCCCCTCAGCAGTGTATTTCATCGATCTGCCTATTGTGCTCCTCATTGTCTCAAATGAATCCTCTTATCACCCCTGCACCTCTGGCCTGTATCCCACTTCTGTATAAGTAAATCTTTAATTAAAAAAAAAGGGGGATCCCTCTTTTCATCATATCCTTCAGCCTTCCCAAAACAGACATAGGCTGACTACATAGTTGCTTCTAGAGTTCATAGTTTATGGATATCTTTTCAAAATTGTTCTTTGAGAATTTTCAACCCTAACTTACTGTCAGTATTTAAAATGTAATGCAAAGAGTCACTGAAAAAAAAATTGAGTCATAAATTATATAATTTAAAAACTGAGCAAACTTTATCCTACAATAATAGCCATAGGTTTCCAATACTTTCCTCTATTGCACTTACTGGATTTGAGGTGATGGACAGCATTTTAGACTGTGGCACTCGAGGTAGGACCAAAGGTTGTAGTTCGTTAAGCACACAGGGACTTTCTGAAGCTGGCCTTGTGACAGCAACACTACTCTCATCGTCTGAATAAAGGAACAGAATCTGTTATTCGTGGATATCTTACACTCACATAGTACTAAGAAAAATCTCCTGAGAATGCATAATCTCAAGTTAGCTTCCCTTGTATTTCTGGCCCAGTTTTACACCACTTATGTGAAATGTGTGCTTCCAAAAAAACCCCCTCAAGCTAAGAATGTAAGTGGTTTCTCTGGCTGATAATGCCTCTTAGTGTTTTGCTAAAAAAAAAAAAAAAAAGTGATCAAGAACAAAGCTATGCAGTAGAATGGTTAGAGTTAATGGGCATGTTCTGCATTTGCACTAATATAATAGCCACTACCCACATGTGTGAATAGGGTACTTAATAGAGGACTAATCTAATTGAGAAGAAGAATTTTAAATTTTCATTTTTGTTTAAATTTTATTAAAATTTAAATGTGCCTAGTGATTACTATGGTCAGTATTTAGGACAGTTTAGCTCTGGGAGATCATTCATCTGGGTCTTAAGTTCTATACAAGGTAACAACTTATTACCTTTAAAACCACACAATATACAAGAGTCAGGACACCTTGATAAAGAATAAACAAAATAATCAGCAAATTAGAAACAATGGATCAGAAATTGAGATAATTAGTTGCAGAATATAGAGAAAAAAATGCTATTCTCACTTGTAATAAGGGAGATGCAATTTAAACCACAATGAGATACCACCTCACCCCAGTGAGAATAGCATATCTTCAAACAATTAGCAAAAACAAATGTTGGCGAGGATGTGGAGAAAAAGGAACACTCCTGTACTGCTGGTGGGAATGCAAACTAGTACAACCACTATGGAAAACTGTTTGGAGGTTCCTCAAACTGCTAAACATGGAGCTTCCCTACGACCCAGCAATCCCACTCCTAGGTATCTACCCAAAAGACACAAAAACACTGATTGAAAAAGATACTTGTACCCCCATGTTTATTGCTGCTTTAGTCACAATTGGAAAGACATGGAAACAGCCCCCAAAAAATGGATGGCTGGATTAAAAAGATGTGTACATATACACAATGGAATATTACTCAGCAACCAAAAAAAAGAAACACATGTCTTTTGCAGCAACATTTTTTTTTTACTGAAAAAATTGAGTCATAAAATATATAATTTAAAAACTGAGCAAACTTTATCCTACAATAATAGCCATAGGTTTCCATAGGATGGAACTTAGTGAGATAAGCCAGAAAGAAAAGGAAAAATACTGGATGGTTTCTCTCATAGCAGGAATATAACAGAACAGACAAGAAAATAATAATAATGATGAACAGCTATATACCAGAGACATCTTATAGGGGTGGGACGGGGAATGGGATCAAAAACAGTGGGGGGGGGAGGGAAATGCACTAGACTATGGTGATGGCACAAGGGTGATTTGGTGATGTGAAGCCCACAAGGATTACAACTGGGATGAAAAAATGCACAAAAATATGTAAAAATAAACTATTATAAAATTTAAAAAAAAAAGCCAAATCTCAAAAGGATCTATTTACCAAAAAAAAAAAAATGATGTCCCCCATTATTCCTACTTCTTGATGTTCATGCCTTTGTGTAGTTCCCTCCTTTTGATTGTGGGTAGGACCTGTGATTTACTTCAGACCAACATATGATTGTAAAAGTGATGAAATATCACTTCATTGTTACATTGTTATATCAGCTTCTGTCTTGCTAGTAGAATAGCTCTCAATCATTCTTGCTGGCTTTGAAAAATAAAGTTGTTAGGACTTGCACAGCCAGAGGAACTGGATCCTTCCAAGAATACACAAAAGAATTGAATCCTTCCTCTATACGTAGAGCCCATCCCTGGCCAGTACCTTCTATTGCGGCCTCATAAAAAACTGCAGAGAGATCTAGTTTATTCCTGGAATTCTGACTCACAGATTTGTAAAATAATAAATGGGTCATTTAAAGCTGATAAGCTTGTGATATTTTGGGGTACAGCATAAAAAAGTCAATGCCAATAATTCTTTAAAAATCACATATACAAGTAAACATATAATCCAATCATTTCATTCTTAGAAATTTAAGAGGAAAGGATATGTCTCAAAAAAAACTTTCATATGCTAGTATGCATAACAGCTTTCCATGTAACAGTACAAGCTAAAAATCTGAATGTCCATCAAAGATGTATGGATAAATACATTGTAGCACAATGGAATACTACGTGGCAATTAAAAGGAGTAAATTATTAACACTATCAGTGGCAGACAAACTCAAAATCACACTGCATGAAAGAAACTGGTGAAAAGTAAATATGATTGCATTTATATGAAATTCCACAATGTGAAGAAAACATCACCTTTTGTGGATAGTGGATTAGACAAAGGCAGGATTACAAAGGTCATGAACTATTGGGGGGGGTGTGATGAATATTTCCACTATATTGATCTGTCATGCTTATGTGTATATATAGGTCGAGTCTGTCAAATTGTCCCTTTAAATATATATGGTTTATTAAATATCAATTATTTTAAAATAAAAGTTAATATATTTGCCACTTGCATGTGGTTTCCTCACAATTGATTATATTCAAAGGAAAGTATAATCTGTGCCTAATCAAAAAGACTAGGCCTTGTTATTTGTCCACATATTTTCAAATATTTTCTTAATGTTAGTTTCTATGAGAAATACAAACAATAAACCACACCATTTTTGTACCAATGACACTTAAAATCAAATAGACTGATTAGAGTTTGAAATTCATGATTTTTAAAATACTTTTTTCACAAAGATCCTTACCAGAAGCAAATCCCTCCCAGTGATTACGTGTCAGCTGCTCCATACAGCCCAGAACCTTGCTCCACACATCATCAAATACATAAGCAAGGACATCCTCTTTCATGCAGTGAAATGGAGCAATTGGAGGGTACCCTAATTTCTGTTTCTCTGTGGCTGCTTCTGATTTCATCCCATGAAACCCTTCTTCCCTGTAACAGAAGCATGAAGGGAAAGACTTCTGGTTATTCTTACTGTTTGCCATTGTCCCTATGCTGCTGCTTTTTTTTTTTTTTTTTTTGAAGATTTATTTATTTGTACATACAGAACTCGGGTACAGGCCAGAGGCTCAGGGGTGGCGAGAGATTTCACCAGAGACAGTGGGGAGCAGAACAGGCAGATCGATGAAGTACACTGCTGAGGGAAGCAACGGGCGGGTCAGGAGAGGTCTGCCACGCCATGTGGTCACCTCCGGGGCAGGCTGGACTCGAACTCATGCGGAAGTGGCTTTAGCTTCTCAGTGCTGTGCTTTATTAACCCGCTGCGCCACAAGGGAGGGCTGTCCCTATGCTCCTTATATTGTGATTTGTACCCATCCCCTGTGCCAAGTATATTACTGATAGTATGTGTATGAAGTTCCTTTGTGAACTAGGGGGGTTATCAATAGAGACTCTGGTTTTCCCTTTTTATTTACACTCCACCTTTCTGTGAAAGAGTGGAACAAGAAAAAACTGAGAATCACTGTACTTTCTTTTAGCTTTAAACTGATCAACAATGTCAGTTAAGCAGCAAGCTATATAAATTAAGCCTACAGAATGTATATAAATTAAGCATATAGAAATAATCTTTGTTGTAACTTGGTAACACTTGGAGTAATGATGTGGTATTTAATGATAATGTAATTGTGATTATGATCTATAATTATTTGTGGCAATTTTTCATTAGGGAAACATTCCACAGATATTATTAAAATTAGTATACTTAGCAGAATAAACATCTGGTATTTGACTAGAAAGGAAAAGAACTGAAAAGCAGAGAAAACTACTCTTGAGGCTCTTCTGAGACCCTCTTTCTGTATCCCAGAAACTCCTCTTCTCTGGTAGAATACCAGAGGAGTGAGAGGAATTCAGGGAAATCTAGCTGATATGCGAAATTAAGACAGCAAATTTTGGATCTGGTTTGGAGAAATAAACTCAGGTCTGTACAGTGAAAGTTATCCCCAAGAGCAAGAGATCCCAAGAATTAAACAGGAAGCTGTAGCCAGCAAAGGATTCTAATAGGATCATGTAAGCAGCCAGACTATTCACTTCTCCCTTTGTAAGGAAGTGCTGGTTTGGCATTAAGTGGGGAAGCAGGCTGATTAGAATAACATGTATTTAAATTTCTCTTTAGAGGAGAAAAAAACACAGTCCTATATAATTTACATGACTGATTTATGAGTCATGATTCATATGATAAAAAAATAAAAATTCTACTGAGGGAAATGTATGGATGTAGTGAAAAACAATACATCCCTGTACCGCAGGCAACATTTCATTGTTCAACATTACATTTCATTCAAACTTTATACATAGTTCCATACAAGTAGTTACATACTGTGCCACACCTTGCTTTTTATATTCAATAGCATCTAGAGGCCCTTGATTCTTTACATACATATAAATCTCTCTTCAAAACAAAGCAAAAAACAGCTGCAAAAGAGCCCATAGGATATGCCATAATATAACCTTGCATATAGAACTTTGCCTACATAGGTTTTATAACTGTAGAATAAATTCCTACAGTTACTGAATCAAAAGTTACAACTAATTTGAAGATACTGTTCATTTTCTTTTTCCCACTAAAGGAATTACCAAACTTCATCTTTTTTAACAGTTTGTCAGATAAAATAGTATATATCATTACAGTTTTTTTTAAGATTTTATTCATATATAAAAAACTGGTATAGGCCAGAGGTGGGGAGGCGCAGGAGGAAGTAAGAGGATTCACCAGACAGATTGGGGAGCAGGACAGGTGGATTTACTGAAATACACTGCTAAGGGGAGTAGCAGAGGAAACAGGAAAAGTCTGTGTGTCTGAGCACCCTGTGTGGGTTAGCAGCCATGTAGGTGATCAAACTCAGGCAGCAGAGATGATAGTGCTGAGACTTAACCTCTAGGCCACCAAAAAGCCCCTCTTGTTAGTTTTTTTTTTTTTAAGATTTATTTGTGCATACAGAATTGGGGTACAGGCCAGAGATGCAGGGGCGGTGAGGGGATTCACCAGAGGTAGAGCGGGGAGCAGAACAGGCCGACTGTTGAAGTACACTGCTGCGGGGGCAGTGGGCAGGTCAGGAGAGTTCTGCTGCACCATGTAGCTCACCTCCTGTGTGGGGATCAAACTCATGGCTGCAGCTAGCTTGCAGTGTTGGGACCTAACCCGTTACACCAGCAGGGAGGGCCCTCTCCTTAACAGTATTAATTTGCATCCTACTCGTGAATGAGATTCAATTTCATTTCATACATTTAAAAACCATTTAATTTTTTATGAACTATCATTGTCTCTGCTTGTTTTGGCCTTAGCCTCTCCCTTATTTTTTGATGTACATACTAAGAAAATTAACTCCTTGTTATGTATAAACTGCAAATATTTTTGCAAGTTTGTTATCTGTCTTGACAAATGAGTAATTCCTAATAGAAATTTTACTTATAAGAATTTTTTTAAAGTTATATTTATTTATACATATAAGAACTGGGGAGCAAGTCAGAAGTGCAGGATGTGAGAGGATTCACCAGAGATAAAGTAGAGAGCAGAACAGGCAGATGTACTGAAATACACTGCTGAGGGGAGCAGAGTAAGACAGGAATGGTCTGCTGCACCATGTGGGTAGCCTCCTGGCCATTGCTTGTACTGCAGTGGCTGCAGATAGTTTCACTGTTCTGGACTTAACCCCTTTGGCCACGTGGGAGGCCCATCATAAGAATTTTTTTAATTTTATATTTTGTATTGTGGTTGGAAAAACCTTCCCTAGTCACATTTTTTTTTTTAAAGATTTATTTATTTGTTCATACAGAACGGGGGTACAGGCCAGAGGCTCAGGGGCGGTGAGAGGCTTCACCAGAGACAGAGTGGGGAGCAGAACAGGCAGATCAACAAAGTACACTGCTGAGGGGAGCAGCGGGCGGGTCAGGAGAGGTCTGCCGCGCCATGTGGTCACCTCCGGGGCAGGCGGGAATCGAACTCATGCAGAAGCGGCTTTAGATTCTCAGTGCTGTGCTTTAACCCGCTGCGCCACCAGGGAGGGCCCCCTAGTCACATTTTTTAAAAATCTTACTTTATTCTAAGCTTATGATTTTGTTTGTCACATTTCAGTTTTTATATGTGTGAGATTTATTTTTATGGAAAGAAGCTAAGAACTTTATTTTATCCCAGAGTTTCCATTTTGAACCAAAATCATATGCTGAAATTATATATATTAATTTCCAGGAAATGTTTTGATTTATTCTGGACTTTCAATCTTTTCATTCAGAAATATTTTAGTGGTCAGCTATTCTGTCATTATAAGCTAATCTCAATGTTATTTCTAAGAGAAGGCTGCCTTTCTAAAATTTTTTCCTGTGTTGCCTGAAAATTTATCCAGATCTCCTATCATCTTAAATTAGTTAAATCACTTTATTTTTTATAAATTAAAGCCAAAAAAGAACTTTGATTTCATAAATGAGAAAGTAGAGTCAAGTCTGACCTTCCACAAAGGTCAGAAGAAGTAAAAGGTAACGAGGTAATTTCTGGAAAACCAAAAGAACTTAAGGTTGTCTTATAACAGTTAGCTAGCTCAGTGGTGTTAAATTTGGAAATCAGGGACATGCAAACCAAAATTATAATGAGCTATTACCTCACACCTGTGAGAATGACCAATATCAAAAATGTAGAAGGAAGTGTTAGTGAAAAGGCATGGAGATAAAAGTAACCCTTTTACACTGTTGGTGGGAATGTAGGCTGGTCTAGCTCTATGGGAAACAGTCTGAAGATATCTCAAATTAAAAACAGGTCTACCATGTGGTCCAGCAATTCTACTAGGAATGCCCCCTGAAAAATGCATATATATTATTTTAAAGGATTATGTCCTTTTATGTTCATTAGCATTATTTATAATAGCTAAGTAATGGAAATAACTCAAGTGCCCAATAACAGATGAGTGAATTAAGAAGAGTGTGGGAATACTACACTAGGTAATATACTAGGGAATACTACTTAGCTGTAAAAAAGATGAAATTTTGCCATTTGCAACAACATGGAGGGACCTGGAGGGGATTATGCTAAGTAAGAAAAAAAAAATAATAATTTTACTCATATAAAGAAACAAAGTCAACAAACAGATAAAATTAAATCACAACAAACACTTGAAATCTGATTCTAGAACTGAGGCTACCAGAGGGCGAGGCTGGGAATTAGAAAGCAAATGGGACCAAAGCTCAGTGAACAATAGTGGAAATTATTAGTCATGGTGGTAGACATGATGTGGTAATATACATATTAAGCTAAATCATATATAACGCTTTAAACCAATGCTACTTCAATAAGAAATAATAAAAAGAAGAAATCTGTAATATTTAGCTGATTCTTGGAATGTTTCTACTGAGTATGTAAGTAAGCAAGGCTCAGAAAGAAATATATTGGGAAGAAAATTCCAGAATCATGTGACACAATAGTAACCAGCCCTACCTAAAGCTTCAAAGCTAAAAATTCTCATTTTCAGATGAGCTGATGTCACTAGCAATTCTGGAACTAATAATAAAGGCTTACAGGAATAACTTCTGAAAAGTAGCATTGGATAGTGAAGAGAGCATTGGACTTAGAATCATATGAATAAAATTTTAGTTTTAGCTTTATCTTAGAAAAACCATTTAAACATTCTGATTCTTACCTTCCCTGTAAAGAAGGTAACTAATATCTATGTCATGGGATTGTTTCCCAATTACAATAAGAATAGATAAAAATCAGCATTGTTAATTATAAAGTCTGTGTCAAATATATTTTTCATAAAACTATATCATTTCAAAAGGGATTTTTGCAGTGAAGTACACAGCTCTTTAATGGATCTTTTAAAAAGTTTCAGTTTCTATGAGTTACTAATAATAATTTATAAAGGGTAAAATAAAGTTATGTGGAGAAAAAAAATAACTAATTAAAAATGTCTAACCTGAGAAAGAGGCAAATGGAATGTACAAGAAGAAAATACACAAGTACCTGGAAACAATAGGAATTTATACCAACTAAGAATATGAACTCTGGACACCAGAAAAGTAACAAAATAAATTACATAAGCTGACAAATATCTAAGTATAGGTAATATTGATAATATATTTTAGGGAAAAATAGATGTTAATAGATGAATGAAAAGCTTAAGAGCTTAAACGATGTAATACTTACATATCTGTGCGGTCAAATGCTAGGTATTCCTCTATTATTCCTTCAGAAAAGATTACACAGTCTTCCTCTCTATTTTCTGGAGAACACAAGCTAGGGGATTTGGCAATGGAAGATTCTTTATGAACATAACAAGATGAAAAATGTAACTTCTTACCCCTGATACCGAATCTGGGGTGGGGGGGAGAAAAAAGCAACTATTAATTATATACAACCTAATTCTCCTAATAGCACAGCCACATGAATTTTGGCTCAGCTGTCCTGGTGATACTTTCTTCATTTATTCTAAGCTTTCTTAAAACAGGAAGAAAAATATTAGCCATAGAACTCAGCTTAGGTGTACTGCTTAGATGTGAATATATGCTGACTATTTCATTTCAGATGTTTGTTTTAGAGAAAGCAAGGTAAATCTGAACACTAGAAAATAAAAATTGCTCCCAATTTAACCAAATATTAAGTATAACTGTGTATATTTTGTTTTAGTTTTTATGCTGTTTTGTGCCGTGTTGTTTACTGTATCATTTTTCCTCCAAAAATTCATCAAAAATAGGAAGTGGAATAAATATCTTTAGTACATCCAAGGCGTGAAAGAAAGGCTTTGGGAGAATTAGTGAATAAGGAGAGAATTACAGAAGATAAATATAGAGATGTAGGCAGAAGGCAGCATGTGATATGATCGCTTAAATTTAGTGAGTTTTTTTTGTTTTAAAAAGATTTATTTTTGCATACAGAACTGGGGTACAGGCCAGAAGTGTGGGGGGCGAGAGGATTCACCAGAGACAGATGGGGAGCAGAACAGACAAATGTACTGAAATACACTGCTGAGGGGAGCAGTGGGTGAGTCAGGAGAGGTCTGCCACCACACCATGTGGGTCATCCCCTGGTTGGGAATTGAATTGGTGTGCATTGACTGCGATAGCTTCATAGTGATGCACTTTAACCAACAGTGCCACCAGGGAGGGCCCTAGTGAGAAGTAGTAAAGATTTTTAAGTGGGAGACAGGATCAACTCAGAATTTTAAAAGGAAATAGCGAGACTGTATTGGATGGAGGCAAGAAAGAATACAATTTGAAGTTTGTCTTAGTCTCAGTTTTTGATACACCTTGTTTTATGGCAAATTTGTTAAACAACAAAAACAACAATGAATTCACATATACCATACCACTTATTATAAAACATGGTAAACAGCAGCAGCAGCATCACCAACTTACATGCCCTTGCTCTGTAAGTTTGAGCTCAATTACTGTTAGCCTCTCAAAAGAATAAGGTCTATAAATTTCAGTTGAAACCATGTCTTAGAGGAGAAAAATTTAAAGATCAGTCTGTAATAGCAGTTTAATTTCTATGCAGGTATTAAGTTGTAATTATTATTACATGTTTAAGAAAAATTACTTTTCAAATTTTTAAAAAAAGATTTTAAAGTCTCTTTCTTAGACCTCAAAATTCTTTAAATCAGTCTATTTACACATTTATTCCAAGAGGGAAGTGTCTGTATTTATAGATATATGTAAACACAGATGCAGACATATATAATGACCTGAATAGCAAAACATCCCTACGTGTAGGGGATATCTTGCTTTTTGGAAAAAAGAAACCTATTTAACATAATCCTAATATACACAAAGATAATGGTCAGTCTTATAAAATAGCTGTGCTTTACTAAATGCAAAAAATGAAAGAAGTATTTTAGTCCCTTAATATAAGTGGAAGAACACACTATATATAGGAAACACAAATACTTACATATTAAAATACTTACATAGTAGAATCTCTTTCTTGAGATAATACTGCTTCATGTGAAGCTAAAACAGCAGAAGGGGACATAGGATACAGTTCGTAACCTTCACTTGGAGTGATTATCTGCCTACCCAGAATCCTTCAAAATAAACAACATAAAAGAGATAATTAAGGATCTTCAACTGGCATACATACAAAATCTAGAAATTTTTGGAACAAGTTTGATGATTCTACATGGAAATCCAGTAACAGTCTGATGCTGATTAAAATTATTCTTGAGGACTTCCCTGGTGGTACAAGGAGTTAAACACAGCACTAGAAGTTATCCACAGCTACTGCAGCACAAGTTCAACCCCTGGTGAGGGAGAGGGAGGTGACCACATGGCACCAGGAGGTGCCTAGTGCTCCTCTCAGCACTCTATTTCAGCAGATCTACCTGTTCTGTTCCCCACACTTTTCTTTGGTGAATCCCCTCACCTCTGGCCTGTACCTCAGTTCTTGTATGCATTAATAAGTAAAGTTCTTTTAAAAAAGATTGATTCCTGAGAGAAAATATGAATCCAGAGCTCTATCAGAGGTTTGTGTTTCCCATTGAAGGAAGATAGAAAAGATAGTTATAAACCCTATCACTTCCCTCTAAAAGCCCTAGAAAACTAAGCAAATATTTGTAAACCAAAACCCCCAAAAAGGGTCTTTGGACAGCACCAGATCACAACTACTGGTACAGAAATTGTTTTACTCACTTAGTATGACATATTAGTTGTCATGGAAGCACCAAGAAACTTCCATCAACGTGGTTCAAATTTTACTGTCTGCCATGAATACAAGTGAGCTGTAGAGATTTAGTACCTGAGGTGAGGAAAGCTATGTTTCCATTGTTGGCACTCTTCTTGTAGATTCTTAGTATATACACTCAACTTCTGTTCATACAAGAGCTCATCGATGGCTGTGAACATTGCCTGTACTTTCTCAGTGGCATTTTGATCAAGTTCCTAGAAGAAAATATCCCTCGAAATATTTGAATGAGTTTAAATCAAAAAGTGTAAAATTTCACAACAATCAGATTGCTTTGTTTTCAATATTTAGTCCATTTGAAATACTGAATTTCCATGAAAGAAAAGTTAAAAAAGTTTTCAGATATAAGAATATTCTGACTTTTTCTCTATTCCTATTTAAAGAATATGTATAAATATTTACATGTGTAAAGTAACATGTTCATCATAAAAATACTGGAGTCTTTTTTAAAATTCAGAAAAACATGAAGAAAAAATTATCAATAATTTCACCATCAATAGATAATAATTGTTAATTTTAGTATAGTTGTTTGGTTCCAGTATTATTATTGCTTAAGGTAATCAGTTCTATATCTTTAAATATTATTGGGTGGTCTGCATTAATCACTGAATAACTTTATACCTGTCTTCTGTCATCAATCTTTTAGCAGTAGATAAATCTGATCTTATCTTATATGATTCTCAGCTTATCCTCTACTTTCTCTGTCCTTACATTCATCTATATACTCTTTATATAGTGAAGTAAGACTTTTCATTTTGGTGAAATCTGTTATGCTTTCCTGTTGAGTATTTATCTACTTAATTTCTACTCATGTCAGCTTTCTTTTGCTACTCATTTCCCTATTATAACCTTCCCCATTCCTTTATTTTCAACACTGGAGTATCATTCTGTGTTTGGCCTGTTTCTTTAAATAGCATGTAGCTAGATTTTAAAAATCCAACTTCAGAATCTTTGTTCTTTTTTAACAGGCATATCGTATCTACTTAAAATGCAATACTTGAACTTTTTTCCACTTATTTTGTAGTATCCTTTTACCCTTCTTTTTGTTGCAGTTTTCATTTTCTTAACTTTTTGTTGTTATTCCTTCTATCAGTTTGTAGATTATTCATTATGTTTATATTCTATTCATGGTTTTACTTAAACTTTTAAAATCCATTAATACCCTTACTTTTCTAACAAAATCTAAGTTTTTTCAGGATAATCTGTCCTCCACTAAAACAAAGGGCAAAGATCATTTCACACATACATATTAAGTAAAGCTATATGTACAAAACAAATACTGAGTAAAAGTGCCAATTATATCCCTATTTTTAAAAAATGAAAAAAGATAAAAAGGCAAACAAAGATTAGATATGTTGTGAGGCTATAAAACTGGGTGAGTCAGAAGAGGGAATATAAAGATTAATCACATTTTCTGGGTGATGCAAGTAATAGTGAATGTTTATTAAATAAAATATCCTCAACTGAGAAGATCACAAAGGTAGTTTTACTAATTGACCAATCTCTGCTAGGTCTTTCAGACATAGTGTCATATACTTTTAAAACAGGAGTTAAAAACTTATGATTTCGCTTGCATACTCTTACCATTGCTTTTCAAACTTTAGAATCATTAGTGGATTATGAACTGTTATAAAATAATACCCCCAAAATATAAAACCATAACAGAATATAAAAAATAGTGATCATTCATATAAAGGTTATTAGTTTATGTAACTTTATCCTGTTTTATATATATACACTGGATCACAGATATTTGGAAATTAACTAAATTTAAGTGTGAATTACAGTTGAAAAGTTTGAAAGCTTCTGATCTATTCAGTTCATGTACATCTTTCTAAACTCTTCTTCTTCCAGTTTACAACAGTAGTGTAGTGACCAGTCCAGAAAATGATTTGAAAATGCTGTTTTTGTAAAAAAAAAAAACTTGTGCTACTTATATTCTTCCATAGAACTTTCTGTGAGTTGTTTGATTCAGTTTCATTAACAGTTTTACCATTTAGATTTTTGAGTACTTTATCCATTTCAAAGTTACAGAATTTATTGGCTTAAACTTGTCAAATTAGTATTTGTATGTCTGCAGGATTTATAATGTGACTTTTTCAATTCTGATGTTTGTGATTTGTGTTTTCTTGAATCCTATCTCCAGATGGTTCATTATTCATCATGTCAAACAAACAGCTCTGGTTTATTTTCTCTTTCATTTGTCTATTTTCTAATTCATTGATTTTCCTCTACTTCCAGAGAGATGCATTTTTAAAAAATGTTAAGAATATAAAACAATATAAAAAGTTAAACCTTTATGGGTGTGATTTTTTCCCCTCTTATTTCTTTTATTCTTGAACCCTGGCATTTTAAAGTAGAAATTTAGGATATTTATTTTAAACCTTCCTCCTTTTCTTAAATAGGTATGTTAACCTATAAAGTATCTTACAAGTACTACTTTACCTGTTTCCACAAATTTTGGTATTTTCTTGTTATTACATAGCTTAAAATATCCTCCAATTTTCATTGTCATCTAATACTTAGAAGGGTGTTAATTTCCAAATATTTGAGGTATTCTAGGTATCTGTTAACTTATTTTTATTGTGGTCAAAGAACATACTCCAGAAGATTTAATGTTTTGAACACTATTGAGACATTTTATGGTCCACCATACAGCCTGTCTTTGTAAACATTCCATATAAACTTAGAGAAAAATATGTGCTGTTTTTGTTCAGTACAGCATCAGATCTTAAACATTTTTACTGATTTTCTAGTTGTTCTATTAATTACAATAATTTTAGAATTACTAATTCCTTTATTTTTAACAGTTTTTCTTCATACATTATGGAACTCTATTAGGTGTGTACTGTTTTGAATTGTTTTGTCATCTTGGTGAACAGTTAACAGACTAAATTGGCTTCTCCTGTTATGTTAATATAAAGAATGCAAATCAAAACTACAGTGAAGTATCACCTCTCACTGTGAGGATGCCCATATCAAAAAGATTGAAATGTTGGGAAGGATGTGGAGAAAAAGGAACACCCACCCATTGTTGGAAATGTAACCTGGTGGTGTTTCAACGGGGATTATTTAAAAACATAAAACTGTTACTATCTTATGAGTTTTGTGACACAGTAAAACCACCACTAGGTTATGAAAACACCAATACAAGAAGTTTTATGCACTAATATGTTCATAGAAGTATTATTCACAGATAGCCAAGTCATGGAACCAGTCTAAAAGCTGATTAAGAAATTGTGGAATATATACTAGGTGGAATGCTACTAAGCACATTTAATTAATTCCCTTGGAATAACATTTAACTTTTCACCATGGCCATATACAAGGCCTTATATGAGCTAGTCCTACCTACTTCTCTGACCTCATTTGTAGTTTTCGCTCCCTGGTTCAATATCCTCCAACCACTGTGACCTTTTTACAGTTTCAAGAATACCCTAAAAATTTTCCCTTGGGTCCTCCCTGGTGGTGCAGCGGGTTAAGGCACTGCACTGAGGGGCTGGAGCCACTTTCGCATGAGTTCGATTCCCGCCTGCCCCGGAGGTGACCACATGGCGTGGCGGACCTTTCCTGGCCCGCCCGCTGCTTCCCTCAGCAGTGTGCTTTGTGGTTCTGCCTGTTCTGCTCCCCACTCTGTCTCTGGTGAGGCCTCTCGCGCCCCTGAGCCTCTGGCCTGTACCCCAGTTCTGTATGTACAAATAAGTCTTTAAAAAAAATTTTTTTCCCTTGGAAATTTGAAACTCTTATTTTCAAGTTTTGCATATACTGCTGGTTACCTGTCTAGAAAGTTCTTTTTCTCAGTCCTCAAGTTAACTCTTCAGTCTTTAAGTCTTACACCTATCCTATCCTGTCTGATGACATTATCTAAACTGTATTTTTACCAAAGTGGATCCAAAGCACTTATCACCTTTTGAAGTTATTTTATTTGCTTTTGTCAATCTCTTCATTAGACTATTGAATCATGTAAGTCTCACTCACTCTATATTCCCAAGTACAGTGTCTCAACAACAAAGGTGTTCAATAGTATCTGTGGAATGAAGAAAAACTGAAAAGCAAAGTATCAGATAATGAGGGAAAGTTCCAGTCTTGCTAAAATATATTAAGGAACAACTAATCTACAGCTATTCAAATCAACAGGTAGGGAAGTAGTAAAAGAAAATGTCTATATGAAACTATGGTGAATGAAAAAGTATACTGCAACAGTAAAGGATTATAGGTGCTTTGGTTGTGGGTGTGTGTGATGACATATTTAAGAGAACTCAGCCTATTGCCCTCAATCACATACAGTGTTGTAAAGCATTAACACAAATAAAGAAAATTAAAAAAAGAAAAAGTAGACCATAAAATAGGATGAACATGTATTATACAACTGTGTGTGTTTGTGTATGTGTATATGCCTCCAAATAAAAATGACTGGAAAAATTCCTGGTGAGAATAACAGGCTTTAACAATTGCTGGATTTGTTTTTATAAAGAATGAGTGTAGTAAATAAAGACATCATTTTGGAAAAGTATCTACAAAATAACAATAAGTGAAAAAAAATACAGCATAAAATTGTATGTACTTCATGGTTATAGTTAGGCCAAATTAAACAAACTGGAAGGAGACACAGAAATAAAAGTACCTGTTCTATCAAGGTATAAACATACACAAAGTTTGTCTTTAAAATTTTTGTTCAATATTTGGTTTTAAAAGTAGTAATTTATAATGGGAGATAGCAAAAATTAATGAATGGATTTTATTATCTCATCACTTAAGTAATAACGACCAGTATTTTGGGTCAATATCTTTAGTTCTTTTTTCTAAAATATGTATAAGCAAAAACAGATGTAAAACAAAACTAGATTCTATACTAGACATTAATTTTACATACTATTTTAACCCATTTTAAAAAATTGAACAATATAAACATTTTCCCAGCTTATATTCATTTAGTAATAAACTTTCAAAAACATTTTGAACAAGATAACATTAGTGGTGGAGAGATTTAATGGACTGAGCTCAGTAGAAGGAATTGATACCAAATTCTAACCTGTAACTACATTAATACTAAGCTCTAGGGATCAACTACTATATCCATAAAACAAAGCACATATTGACAGAGGGTAAACTGATGATTCTTTACGAGTATTATAAAGTGTATTTAAGTTATTAAAATGTAAAGAACAATGCAGTAGAGTGAAGAAATAAAATATACTGACAAAACTGTCAAATCCTAATTCCCAGAATAGACTCCCTTGCATTCCATCAGAACAATAACAAACAACTCACACCATATCCCCAGGAGAAGTCCGAGCTTCCCTCAGTAGAGATCCCTGTGCCTGTATAACTTGGAAAAGCAGATCTTGAATTCCCAGTGTCAGCTGATGTAAAAGGTGATTCTTGAGTGATGTCAGACTCACTAAATGCACAATTTGGAAGAAAAGAAAACAGAACAACTTGGTATTAAATCTCTGAAGCTCTTAAGTCCTAGCAGTTTACCAATTGATAAGCAAATGAAAAGCTTGAAATTTATGCATCATGGAGAAAGCCCGCTGAATTGATGGTTGTCATTTAAAATGCTAGTAGTAGTTTACAAGGAATACTTTAATATCACCTATAATATATATATTTGACAAAGGTATTTCAGAAACATTAACATAGTATACAAAATTGTATGGCACTTTTACAATTTATCAACTACTTTTACAAATATTAGTACCATTTTATCCTCACAACAACCTGGTGATATAGAACTAAACCCCTTTTTACTGAAAAAGAATGAGGTTTAGCTCTAGCTTTTGAAAGTAGGTTTTATGACTCATTTTTCTATCATACCACATTTCTCAGAATCCTCTTCAAAATTAGTCTCTTCTGTTCTAAATCTTAAAATAATGCTACAGCTAATTTTACCCAGTATTTATTTATTTATTTTAAATAATAGTTTATTTTTACATCATTTTGTGCATTTTTCCATCTCAGTTGTAATCCCCGTGGGCTTCCCATCACCAAATCACCCTTGTGCCCATCACCATAGTCCAGTGCGTTTCCTTCCCTCCACTGTTTTTGATCCCATTCCTCACTCCACCCCCATAAAATGTCTCTGGTATACAACTGTTCATTATTATTATTATTTTCTCGCCTGGTCCGTTATAATCCTGCTATAAGTGAAACTATCTGGTATTTTCCCTTTTCTTTCTGGCTTATTTCACTAAGCATGATCTTTTCCAGCTCCATCCATGTTGCTGCAAAAGACATGTGTTTATTTTTTTTGGTTGCTGAGTAATACTCCATTGTGTATATGTGCCATGTGCCACATCTTTTTTTTTTTTAAAGATTTATTTATTTGTACATACAGAACTGGGGTACATGCCAGAAGCTTAGGGGCGGCGAGAGGCTTCACCAGAGACAGAGTGGGGAACAGAACAGGCAGATCGACGAAGTACACTGCTGAGGGGAGCAGCGGGTGGGTCAGGAGAGGTCTGCCATGCCATGTGGTCACCTCCAGGGCAGGTGGGAATCGAACTCATGCGGAAGCGGCTTTAGATTCTCAGTGCTGTGCTTTAACCCGCTGCGCCACCAGGGAGGGCCGTGTGCCACATCTTTTTAATCCAGTCATCTACTTTTGGACATCTGGGCTGTTTCCCCATCTTTCCAATTGTAAATAAAGCAGCAATAAACATGGAGATGCAGGTATCTTTTTTGAATCAGTGTTTTTGTGTCTTTTGGGTAGACACCCAGGAGTGGGATTGCTGTTACCCAGTATTTATTATTATACCCAGCATCGTACCTAGTTTCATATATTTTATCTCATTAATAGTCACTTCATCCTTTAAGAGATACTATTACCAGGAAAGAAAGTTGTCCAATATTACCAAGCTAAAAAGCGGCAGAACTGGAACTAAAAATTAGATCTGTTTTGCTGCTCCTCTTAAGTAACTAATAATATTACCTTTCAAAAGAGTTCAAAAAGCATAGTTTTCTTTTCATTAGCTGTTCTACAGTAAGTCAAATGAAAACAATATAAAAATTTTTACTTTATTTCAGTCCTGTTAAACAAAGCAAGACTTTGCCATTGTTAAGTGTAGTAACAAGTAAATACATTACATATTACTACCTTTGGGAAGTTGTGTCTTTTTCATGGCTGTCATTGGTAGAGGAAATTTCATCCAGCTGCTCTGGAAGGGGATGATGATTAAGAGCATGTTTTGTTATTCCTTTCCTGTGAAAGAGTAAAAGAAAGTTATAGTTTCTATAAAGAAAAAATGTATACTTTTCAAAAAGTACAAGTTATTTACTTTTTGCTGCTCTGGAGCTGTAATATCCAATGTGGTAGCCACTGGTTGCTAGCAGTTAAAATGTTTAGTCTGGTTAGTTGGAAATGAGATGCACTTTATGTGCAAAACACACAGAATATCAAAGCTGTACTATTAAAAAAGTATGAATGTAAAATGGTTTAGTGATCCTGAAATAGCTTCATGCTTGATAAATAAAGTTTAATAAATAAATTCATCCATTTACCATAAGACACAGCTTTTACACTCTTGTACATTGATCCCAAAGAAATGAAAACTTATGTTCACAAAAAAAATTTGTACATAAATGTTCACAGCACCTTTATAACTGGAAAAAACTGGAAACAAGTATAATGCCCCCAAAATGGGTAAATTGGAAACTGTGGTACATCCACACAACAAAATATGATTCAGCAAAGAAAAAGAGTGAATTTCTGATATATGGATTATTTTAAAGGGCATTTATAGAGGGATTAAGTAACCTACTTGAGGTCATTGTGTAGTAAATGTTGGAGGCGGGATTCATTTCTCAGAGCAAATGAATGATTAGAGATTTTAGTGAACTTAACATACTTGTATATAAATAAAGATAAATTTATTGGCCAGTCAGTCAGTGTTTATTCTCTACTTGATGGTGCTGGGTTTGTGCAGTTTTATCAGTATTTCTTTCATTCAGTGATCCTATTTGTCTTTAAGTAAGTGGCAGGTATCAGAAATGTGGATGCCAGCTAAGAAATATAAACTTGAAGATTTTTCAGTCTGGCAAGGAAATATGATTATGAAGTGACACATAGGTAATACCAAAAAAATACTAAATTTGATAGTTATACATAATAAATAAATAATAGTTATACATAATAAATTTGATAGTTGTAATTAAATACATAAGTACATAAGGAAATGTAATATCTAGAGCTATATTCTAAAGGATCTAGTTGTGAAATGATAGGGCCTCGGATTTTGCTTATTTAACAGATGAAGGAAACAGGCTAAAAAAAAGATAGTTGAAGAAAATACACTAAAATTTTAATATCTGTCAAATATGGGTATTGGATGATTATTATTCACTACACTATTTGAAATTCATCAATAAAAATGTTAAGCTGTTGAAATCATTTTATTCAAATTCTTTTCAGCATCTATCATATGGAGCTGTTGGGGAGAAAACTGAAGTAAGTTCTTCAAAGCAAACTATTATAATACCTAAAGTAAAATAACGTTTTTAATTTACTGTTATTAAGATGCATATACTGTTACCTTCGTTATTCACATCATACTGATTCCCCTAGAGAAGCAACTTTGGGAATGTTATCGTCAGGAAATGTCATGTAATAATAGTAAAAAGTAGCAGAACTGTACTGGGTCAATAATTTTCGCCCAGTAAGTGCCTATCAATAATTTCTTCCATAAAAGATTTTTACTATCAAAATGGCCAGAATAATTATAAAAACAGACCTTTAGTTAAGCCTTAATCACCTTATTGGGAAATGATTTTGCTCCTCCTAATTGCAAAGAAATTATCATACTTACTACTATGTAGGTACACTATTAGGAAAGAATAAACTTCTGAAAGGCAAGAAGAGATCATGGACTGATTTTTCTTTGTATGAAGTGACAAAGGAAGGTTACAGTCTTAATTCTGATAGAATTGAGGGGATAAAACCCAGAAAGAAACTGAAGTGACCAAAGTGACACATGTAATTGGTGACAGAATCGGAACTTTTGATATATTTAAGCAGATGTTGGAGTTTACTGTAAAAGAAGACACAAGAAAACTGTGTCAAGACCTGTGCCATCATTAAGGTAAGATTCTAGATAAGGTCTTAGTCAAAGATTGAGTAATTTGCTTAAAAGTCACATGATTAGAAAAAAGCATACGCAGAAACCCTGACATGACTAAAAACATTGTTATTGCCATGTATAGCTAACATGTAATAAGTGTATGGTTGCTAAAATTACATAACTTAGTGGAGGGGGGAGGGGAGAAAGTACTTGACATTAAAAAGTCCAAGCTCAAAACCTATTCTTTATATAGTCTTAAGATGTGTAACCTTTCTGATAAAATTTTATAAAGTGGAAGAAAATCATCCCATTTTACAGGGCTGTTACAAGGACCAAGATGTGAAAGTCTTTTTGAAAGTGTAAAACATTAATAAATGCACATTAGCATTACTTGCTTAGTTAGCCTTCATTAGGGGTAGAAATATGTTTAAAGTTTCAAATGCAAAAGTGACCCTCAAGGATTCTGATGCTTAATTGTCAGAGAATGTGTGTGCAATGGCTGTGACCACAGAATTCAGAATTAGATTGACGCCAGATTTGTAACTCAGCCCCACCACTTTCTGCCTAATCTTTGAAAAGGTATATAACCTTTAAAATATGTTTTCTTTTATCTGTAGAATGTGCAAAATAGTCCCCTCTTTTATCCTTGTTGATAGGATTAAGTGATCTAATGCATGTAAGCTTTTGCACGGCGCCAGGCACTAGATGCATTCAAGTTTATTGTATTACTCAATCACCTATTAACTTCTCAGTAGTCACTGGCCATTGACGGGGCATGAAGAACTGCGGAAACTAATGCCTTAAAAGACTATTCCCTGAGTTCAGGAATTGCAGCCCCAAAGAGCTTATGCTAGGATAGCACAGACGACACACCCTCAGCTAGAGGCAGCGTCCGGCAAAGGTGGGAAAAGAGAATTCTGAAGAAGAAAAAAATCCCCCGCCCTTGGGAAGGCAAGGGGAGCCCCCAGAGTGCCCGGCGGCCCGCCTCGGCCTCCCTTGGTCCTGGCTGTGGGGGCTGAGCAGTCCACTCACAGCTCTGAGGTCTGTGGCACCGCCTTCCGAGTATATCTGGAAATCATCCTCTTCCTCCTCAGCCGCGGCCCGGGTGGACACGCCAGGGCCGGGGCCTCCGGGCCTGGCCCTCCAGCTGGCTCCGGCCCGGCCCCCTCCCGCCACCTTCTGGCCCCGTCACGCCCCGTCTCCTAGACCCCCACCCACCACCTCCCCAGGGTCCCCACCACTCCAGTCCTAAAGTCCCAGAGGGAGCGGAAGTGGCGAAAAGATCGGGCCCACGGCTTAGTGCTCCGGCGGAAGCATAGCAGTGACAACGCCGGGAGTTCCGGAGCCGCGAGGTTATCTGAAACTACCTCAAATCTTTTGCTAGCCCGAAGTCCTAGACCCGCGTCCGGATCGCGTCAAAGCCAGAATTTGGCGAAGGTTGACGGCGTCTGACACTTCACACATTGGGAGAGGCGACTGAGGAGAGGTGCAGTGACAGACGAGCTGGAGAGGCCCTACGACAGTAACGGAAGTGGCTTCATTTTGTCAGATGGGAGGGAACGTAATCTAAGAGCACTGGACTCCAATTCTGACCGTTACTGTTCCGTCGTTTTTCTTTCATTGCTCCTGATTTTCTCATCTGTACAGTGAGGACCTGAATGATTTCAAAATACTTTTCATTCTGACACTAAATTCTTCAAATCAGGTGTGTCTAGCATTATGGGATGGGTAGGTTGAATAGGTTGGAAGGACAAATAACGATTTGGCCAGACCTTGGTGAATGAGAGACTTGTTCGACGTACAGATTCCTCTGTACCTTGTGTTATTCCATCAGAAATCTGATTAAGCATCAAAGTCGAATCGCTTCCTTTGCGTGGACTACCCAGTGCAGTGCCTTACTTTACCAAGCTTCTTCTGGCAATTGTAAGCTAGTACTCTACCATGTAAAGAGATCTCTACCACTTCTGTTAGCATATGCCTGCTGTATCACCTGAGAGAGGAAAAGGGGCAAAATTTAGGATAGATACTTGTAGGATAGAGAAATGTGGACAAATGACTGAATATTTGTGGGTGAGATGATAGGACATGAATGCCTTGTTTTTAACTCCTCTTGTGCCTCACAAAGTACATAAAAGGAAACAAACTGTGGAGTAAGGTCTGTTGCCCTTGAGCGTTGAAAAAGCTAAACTGGGGTTTTACAATGAGAGAGTAATTCTCTTATTCTAGAATTAAGGGGATAAAACCCAGAAACTGAATGACCAAAGTGATATTTGTAATTGGTGATAGAATCAGAATTTTTGATATATTTAAACAGATTTTGCAGTGTCTGAAAGTATGTTACACCACTATTACAACAAGGCCAGTCGTTTTATATTTTGCTCTTAAATAATAGCTAATTTTGGAATGTCCTTTTGGATTTCCCTTCACTGTATTACGTCAGAAGTTTACTTAGGCCCTCTCTGATGGTGTAAGGGATTTAGTCTAAGCACTATCAATTATCGCCAGCCACAGCACAAGATCCATCCCCACTCAGGGAGGTGACCCACATGGTGCAGCAGATTCTTCCTGTCGTGGCCTGCTCCCCTCAGCAGTGAATTTCAGTCAATCCGCCTTTGCTCTCCATTCTTTCTGGTGAACCCTCTCACAACCACATCCTTCCTCCCACCTCTGGCCTACATCCCAGCTCTTATATGCATAAAAAATAAAGTAGATCTTTAAAAAATAAACAAACAAAAAAGTTCCTCCAACAACTAAGTATAAAGAGCATACTTGAAGTATAAAAATGTCATTAGAAGAATACTGAATATATCAAATGTTACTGGAGTTTGTACAAGGTCAAGGCAAAAATCATGGTGTTGGTATGTAGATAATTGAATTTTGGAAAGCAGTATTACCAAGAATGTTTCAGGAACTGAGATATTCTACATTATTCTCTATGTTTTATATTATTGACATTTTAAATTATTTTTCAAGAATGGAGAAAAATATGAAGCTTGCTACCGTGGAAGAAACTGTGGAATACCAACTGTTTCTGATACCAGATGAACCAAGAAACCCAGAAAAACAGGAAGAAATTCTTCAGATGTATATTGAGAGAATAATGACCCAGTTTGCATCTATGCTGGCTCCCTATATTTGGCAGAATCAACCTTTCAACCTCAAATATAAATCTGGGAAAGGTAACCTCTTAGCTATTTTTTATTTGATATGTATGATCTTTAATATTCAAATAGCAGTGGTGTAAAGCAGCAGCCCGTAGATAATTTATGTTGTCTGATTTATGTCTTGAACTTTTTTAGATTAGTAATGCTTGCCCATTTCAGTTAAAACCTTAAACAAATTTTAATTCATATTGATGAAAGATTCCTAATAGTCATTACCTAGGAAATAACATATACTCATTGTCATTAAACTATGGCTATCCTTTTGAAATTTATTCTTTCCTATGCCGTAAAGTATCTCGGTATCTGTAATAAATAGTTTATTTTACTATCACTATTGATAATATGTTAATAGGCTGCCAGTTTTACATAGTTGTTTTGATAAGTATCTAAAAGTGGTTCTGCCTGACTTATAAAGAGGAACAATTGTACTTTATCACCATTTGCCACTCAGAAGCATTTTTGTATTTCCTTTCCTGCTTCTCTGTGTTGTCAGTACTTAGTATCTGATGTCTGACCAAATATTACACTGTGTCTTATCTCTTGTTGCTTGATAAAATGAATCATGGATAGATGACCAAGGCTTTTTTAATGCAGTGACTTATATGGGGTCTTGTTTCAAGAGTCTGGCAACTTGTAATACCATCCATTTGGTTCTCAATTTATTGTTCATTTCTTATATTTTAATTTGCAGTTTCCAGATGTCTTCCCTACTGTTAGTTTTATTGAACAACTATTCACTGAAACACATATTTTTTTGTGACAAGAACACTGTCACTTAGCAAAACACATCCGAAACCAACTCATTTTTTTCTAGAAAATTATTTTTTACCTAATGTTTCTTCATCTTGCTTTATGGCATTGCTCTCACCTAGTTAGCCTAGCTGGTTAGTAATTCAGAATCATATTCAACTTCTCCCTTCACCATATTTAGTTAAAGGTGCTAAAATCCTAGTGTGATTATTCCTAAAACATGACAGGGGTAATATTTTATAACTTGTATCTGTTTGACTAAGCTCTCTTCATCTGAAAAAATAAATCTGTTCTTGGTGTTTACATTTCCTCACACTGCTGCCAGTTACCTTTTAAACACAAATTTGATCATGTCACTCTCCTGCCTAGCATCACCTTTCAACATATTCCCATTGCTTCATGATGAAGTTCAAATTGAAGTTTAACGTATAAGGCAAATAAAGAGAGACTCTTAAGTGGAGTCTAGTTAAGGAACTTGGAAGAGTTGGAGTAGAGAGGATTTGGGTGAGCCCTTTTTCCCACCTGTTTTCTGCCATGACAGCTATTGAGATACTTTGTCGTGCGTTTGTTTGATCTTCAGGCTATAAACGTACTACATCAATTAATTTTTGTGTTGAAACTAACCTTGCATTCTAGGAATAAACTCCATTCTATGAGTACTCCTTTTAGTGTGCTGTTGAATTCCATTTGCTAATTTTTTTTTTCAGGGTTTCTGTATTAGTGTTTATCTGGGATTTGTTCTATAGTTTTCTTGTTTGTTTTTGGGTTTTGCATTAGTATAATACTGATCTCATCAAATTAATTTGGGAGTGTTACCTTCAATTTTTTGTAAGCATTTGAGAAATATTGGTGCTAATGTTTCATGAAGTCATTGAACATTCTTTGTTGGGAAATTTTTACTAAATTACTAAATTTAACTTCCTTACTAGTTAGTAGTTTATTCAGACTTTTTGTTTATTCACAATCTGTTCTTGATTGGTTGTGTGTTTCTGGTAACTTACTAATTTCTTATAGGTTATCCAGTTTGCTGTATGATTTTTTATAGTGTTCTGCTAGAGTACCTTTTATTTCTGTAGTAAAATATATCCACTCTTTCATTTCTGATTATTTGAGTCTTTTTTTCTTAGTTAATTGAAGTATTTTGTCAATTTTGTTGATCTTTTTCAACAAACCAGCCAAGTTTGTTCTTTTTCCACAAGTTTTAGTTTACTCTTATTTTTTGTCTCAAAATATGTTTAATTCCCTTGTTATTTATTCTTTGACCCACTGGTTGGTTAAGAGTATGTGATTATTTCCCCATATTTTTGGACAGTGTACTTAGTTGAAAATTACTCCCAGAGCACTTGCTTGCCTGTCATTCATCACTGTGCCTTTGTACATGTTTCTTTTTTTTTCTACTTTTTCCTGTTCTTTTTCAGAAGCCTACTCTTGATCATTAAATGAGTGTAGTTCCAGTATCATATCCTTTATGCTCACATAGTATGTGAGCATAATGTCAATGTCTACCTGTTCATCTTGTTTTTTGGTGTTTTTTTTAAGATTTATTTATTTGTTCATACAGAACTGGGGTACAGGCCAGAGGTGCAGGGGCAGTGAAAGGATTCACCAGAGACAGAGTAGGGAGCAGAACAGGCAGATTGACAAAGTACAATACTGAGGGGCGCAGCGGGCAGGTCAGGAGAGGTCTGCTGTGTTTTGTGGATCCCCTCCAGGGCAGGTGGGGATCAAACTCATGAGGAAGTGGCTTTAGCTGCTTAGTGCTTGTGCTTTATCCCACTGTGCCACCAGGGAGGGCCATCATCTTGTTTTAAGATGGCTTGGTTGTCTATCTCTTGTTCTCTAGAACTTCAAGAGTAGACTTCTGTCTTTTTCAAGAATGCAACTTCAGTTCCTTTTTTTATTTTTAAAGATTTATTTATGCATACAGAACTCTGGGTAGGTACAAGCCAGAGGTGCAGGGGCAGTGAGAGGATTCACCAGAGTCAGAGTGGGGAGCAGAACAGGCAGATTGATGAAGTACACTATTGAAGGGAGCAGTAGTGAGACAGGAGAGGTCTGGATCACCTCAGGGTGGGGATCCACTGAAGCAGCTGCACCTCTGTGGCTAGCTTCACAGTGCTGCACTTTAACCCACTGTGCCACCAAGGAGAACCCCAACCTCAGTTTCTAGTGTAATAGCTAGAGCATAGTCAGTCAATGAATGTTTAGTTGAATAACTTATATTTTTATTTCCACTGACAAATTTGTTTTGTTTTTGTCTTGTTTTTAGGAGCTGTCCCTGCGCATATATTTGG